TTTCCCCTTTCCTGACTGGAAATGGCGGGCAGCTGACGGGCCGGGCCCGCGGCCCTCCCGTGGGGCGGGCAGTGCGACCCGCTCGGGGTGTACTTCAAGGTCATGGGCCCCAAGGCCGGCCCCTTCCCCTCCCTCCCCCGAGTCCGCCCCCGGGTGGGGATGATGGCCGCACCGCTGGGCCGCCGCGCCGCAGCCATGCCCTGTCCCGCCGGGAACGGGGTGTCCGCCACCTCCTGCCGCCTGTCCCTCGGGCTGCAGGGACACCCCGACTCTGCAGGCAACTTGGTGCAGAGGCACCCCCCGGCCACCCTGCCCGTGTGTATTCCTGGTGCTGGGCTATATGTGGATGCCCCGCACCCAGGTATCCCTCCAGGACGGGGGGGTACAGCTGGTCCCCACCCCGGCTCCGCCAGGCAACATGGAGCACGGCCACCCCTCACCTCACGGCCTCTGGTGTCGGGGTGCGCGGCTGAACACACACCACCACCCCTTGGTGTCAGGACACACAGCTGCTCTACCCTCACGATGCCAGGCTGCACCTCTGCCCGACACCCATGTGTCCCCCCAGCGTCAGGGTGCATGGCTACCCACACCAGCGTCTTCCTGCCTTCACCATGGACCCCAGCAGGTCTGTGCACCCCTTGGGTGTCAGGGCACCTTATATTCCTACTTCCATTAAGAGCTGGGGGGTGTGCACACACATACAGCCCCTGGGTGTCGGGGCAGATGCACAGACACGTCCATGGAGTTGTGGGGTGCAGAGATTTACACACCCACGTGGCTGATGTGTGAAGGGTCCAACACACACACCTCCTGGGCACACAACACAGCTCTCGGGGCACAGGTGTGCACACACGTGCCTGGGGTACAGGAAGCAAACACACGTGCTCCCTGGGTGTTGGAGACACAGAAGGGGCCAAACTGGGATGGGTCTACACACTTTGTTTTTTCTACCCTTTCTTTGAAACAGGGAAAGCTGCTGTCTCAAGCCTCAGAACGGGCAGCAGCCCCCGCGCAAGACTAAAGGCCTCACTGCAAGCAGCTGTTTAAAACAGGAATGGGGGGAGTTGGGGAGAGTATATATGAGATTTTATCTGCATGTTTGGGGTTTTTTTAGTTTCAAATAAACTCCGCTTAGACCACAGATCAAAACCTGTCAATTATGGAAAAGTTGTTATTCTTTCTCTTCCAGGCAGACATGGGTTACTACAAAATCTAATTATTTGACCTGATATCTCCCACACGGTTTATATGTTGTCCTAAAGCAGAAGCAAAGTGGGATAAAAGTGTTTTCACCATAATTTTCAATCTAATATAAGCAGGCTATTCAGTGTTAGCCTTTTGTGTTCACAGCCCAATCTTTGTAGCAAGAAATCTAAGCCCATAGGTAACATTTGTAGGATAAGAACTTGCTAGCAGAGTTGAGTAGTGCCTTAAATGATTGCATGAAAACTGCATGAAAAAACAAGTATTGTTCTCAGAAAATAAAAAATTGTGAAGTGTTGTGTTAATTCCATATACATTAATTCTATGTTTATATTCATATTTTCATTAGTGGTATTTGAGTTTTGGAACAATTTGGATCCGATATCTGTTTTACTTGGAATAAGTATTATAATATTGTCAGGCAAAATATTAAGAAGTTAGTTAAAAGTAGATCTTTTGCATGATGGATTAGTTTTGAACTAATTTGTGGTTGATGCTCACAGCTGGAAGTCCAAGGACATGAATTTAGTCCCTGCTCTTCCAGAGCTAATCTTGGGTACCCACATGTGATACCCACACAAGTGAACCAGAAATCGGTTCAGGGCTTCCTGATTTGTGGGTGTCTAGAGTGACACCCATAGTGTAGGGCTTCCCTAAGGATATGGATTAAAAATAAGGCCCTAACATCTCGGGTTGGATGCACTGAATATTTGTTTTAATGAACTTAAGCTGTTACCATTCTTTATTATAAGAAAAGCTTATATTTAGATGGATAGTCGTGATTTGTTAGTCGTTGTTTATGAGAAGCTTTACAGTTGCTGGGTAAAAGATTTTATATAGATGTAAACTATTACTCATTTCACTGTATTGAAAATTAAATATACCTCCAGTTTTAGGTGCAGTTTAACATTCAAGTCGTGAGACTCTCCTAATACTACTTTTCAGTATTATCCCCATAACTCCAGCTTACTCTTGCTGCTGATAAAGCTGGTTCACAAAAAAAGGATCATGATTATTTGTGTCTCTTATCTTCAGAGTTTGCTGCAAACAATAATCCTCATAGAAGAGCATTCTGAGGATTAGTTTGCTAACTCTATTTAATACAGGGGAGGAAATGGTGATAGTTTACAGATCTGAGTTGCAAAAGTGAGCACTGCAGGACTGGAATTGAGTGCTGTCTTCTAGAGCCCTGTTTGCTGTCCAGTGAGCATTAGCACTTACTTTAAGGGAGCTTTTTAAAACAACTTGGATTTATTAGGTGGTGTTTACCCCCTGTCATCTGGGACAGCTTGTGTTGCAGTGACACCTGATGTCGATGTGACAACACTGATGTAGATGTGTCACCTGTGCCTCGCCTTCTCCAGCTGAGAGCAGAGATAGGTCGACTCCAGGCAGCTGCATTCACTCTATTCTGGCAAGAGCCTTATCATGGAATGCCCTTTTAAATACTTGTACTCAGGAATAGCCTCTTGGCTTTCAACACAGTAACATGTTTGTGTGTTTGCCCTAGGGCCAAAGGAAGCACCATTTTCAATAAATACACCAATAAGGTATTTACCAATTACTTCTTAACATTGAAGGTTATCTCAGCTGCAGTTGTTCTTCTGGTTCTTACTATTTTTCTGCTATGAAATACTTTTCCTTTCCTCCATCCTGCTTCCATGGGGTGAACCAGTTCATTATGTTATTTTCAGATATAGGGACTAAAAGGTTGATTGTTGAAAAACGCTGCTGAGTGAACTATTTTTGTGTAATACAGACAGGCATGTTCGTGAAGATACTATTCCCAAAAGAAGCTGAGATTTTCTTTCCCTGTTTTTGTTATTTTTTCCATGGATGACTGTCATAAATTTTTGATATCTGGAAGATAACTTTATAGTTGAAGATCGATAGCTATCTTCTGGATCTCCTAGTCAGTAAATAAGGGGGAAAAGTTGACTTCTGAGCCAGGAAAAAGTTTAAATTTCCATCTGCAGTACCACGTTTTTAGCATATCAGAGAAATACTGTAGTTTTTCAGCAGAAATCCCATATCAAGAGGCAAATTGAAGGAAGTGTTTCTTATGAGAAAGAAGAAGAAACATTTGAGGTTGGGGCTCCTTATTATACATTGTTGAGAGTTAGTTAAATACATCACCTTTCTTGCCCTTCTGTACAGTTTTTGGTGATTGAGGAGGTCTTCTGTCAGCTGGAAAAGAGAACAATAATTCCTTTAACACATTATTTTTAAAAAGCACAGTTATCAATTGTAATGTTTTGTGTAGTCTGTGATGTAAAGGGAAGTGGTGGTATTTTGGAAGACTGCTTGCAGAAACTGTTTAAAGATTAGATAAAAAAAGACAGTGAAATTATTCTGTTTCAAAGAAAGGAAAATTGTGAATGTTGTACCATAAATGTGGATCTGTACAGCTGCCAGAATTTGGAATTGAAATATTTGCAGATTGGTTGTTTCCTGCCACTTGTGATTTTTCCCAAATTAGACTTTCATTATATTTTTTCTCTTGAAAGATGCACTATTTAACTTTTCCTTCTTTAGAGCTACATTGAAGCAACATAGGAACATACGGCAGTTACGTTCCTATTTACACTGTACAATTTTTCCCTTATGCACACTGTCTTTTCACTCTTTTTCTCTCTTGTCTGGGCACATCAGGACAGACCCAGCCTTCTTCAGCAAAGACACTTGATTAAAAAGAAGATAAATAGACAGGAAAAGCAGCCATCCACCCATTCCCTGCCCCGTGCACAAAGAATAAAAGTGGATAGTGTCCGATTAACACGTCAGCTCTGTGAGAGGGTAGATCTCAGTGGGGAAAGAACTACCTTTACCTTGTTAGGAAGTGGTTCAGTGGGAAGTTTTAGTAACAGATGTACGTGTAACTGTGTGTTATGATACTGTTTGCATTAAACTTGATTGTGCCTATCTTCCCTGCGTTGTGGGCATTTTCAAGACGCGCTCAGTGACAGTAAAATGTACTTGTTAATATGTAGGGGGCTGGCATCTTCAGCTAGCAGACCTCGTGAAGACAGTTGGTTAAAATCGCTATTTGTTCGCAAAGTCGATCCAAGGAAAGATGCTCACTCCAACCTTCTAGCCAAAAGAGAGACCAGCAGTCTGTATAAACTACAGAGTGAGTGATATTTTTATATTTAACATTACTATTTCTATATTCTATTCCTGCATTTCTCACGTAATGTTGTTGTTTCAGTTCACAATGTAAAACCAGAATGTCTAGACGCCTACAACAAGCTTTGGTAAGTTTACTTACTATGTTTTCACATTTTAGACATGTTGATTTGATCACAAGCTGTTCTGAAAATTGCCAAATATTATAATTATTTAGAGGGGAGGTGGAAAAATTCTGCTTTTACTTGCAGGGTATGGTGTTAAGCAGTTTATATTACTCTTGGAGAGAGATGGCAAAAAGATACTTTACTCAGTTCAGCCCCTACCCTTCCCTCTTGGAGGTGTCATTTTCCTAAACTGATGATGCCTTTTGTGAGAGCATCGGTGATGTTTGTTGGAACAGCTCTCCCCCTTCCCTTATTTGTCCTGTGCTTGCTGGTGCATGTGGGTAGGTGGGGGTACGCCAGCATGTCCCACTCCAGCAGCTGTGTAGGAATGTGGTGAGTGTAGTTATTGTCTGCTTACAGGATGGAAAAGGAGAGATCAGCAGTAAGTAAAACTACACACCAGTATTAAATTGAAGTAATAATTCAAGGAGGTTTTAAAAACCTGGGGATTGACTTTCTCTTAGTGTTTCTATATCCTTCTACAGAAGTAATGTTGCTGTGCAAATCCTTGGTAGGATCTTTGCATTGGGGTGGTATCCTCCAAAGGGAGTGGTACTCTTTTGGGTCTTTCTAAAAGTTACAGCTTCATAAAATGTATGATTTGGTAACATTTTGAATTTAGTACTTTAGGGACAAAATCGCAGAAATATCAGTCCTGTTCTGGCTATATAATCACTCCTCTGGAGCCAGAACAGTTGCCTTTTCAAGAACTGTATGTTTAAATTTGGAAATGTAGCGAGCCTCACACGTTGGGGAAGAGCAGTGCTTACTCACTGCCAGGGATCATCTTGCCAGTTAAATAAAACATTCTCAGCATAATGATACCTTACTGCAACCAATTTTTTAAGTATTGGTGTATTGGTGAGAACACCCACTGGGCTGGAGGGAGAGGAAGAAGTCCAGAACTTCCAGTTTATGTCCTTGACTCTGTTACTGGTTGGCTGCACAGCCATGAGTAGGTCATCTAACAGCTCTGTGCCTTCATGTGTTCAGCTTTGAAATGGGGCTAGATAACCCAGAACTGTTTTGCTTGCTGTACAAACATAGAAATCCACTAGAATAACATTGAATCATAAGGTATTTTTAGCTTTTTTGTTTAAAAAAAATAAATAGGCAGAGAAGCACAGTTAACATTCAGCCAGCTTTCTGTTTAAAAGCTTAATATAAACATGTCCAATTACACAAAACAGGGAACAACTTCTCCATATATCTCATGAGCTCCCTAAATGTTGAGTGAAAGCAGAGGCTTTTCTTTTCAAGAAGAGAGGCAACAGCAAAGAAAGAAGCTGCTGACAGCAATCAGATGAAGTATGTGTGGTTAAGTTTACTCTTTCTAAACCAAAGCAAATTTAAGTATTCCAGGGAAGGAGAAAACTTAAGAATGAAATAAAAAAATCCAAGTCTCCCTGAACTTCCCTCCTTCCTCTCCCTAAATTGAGGATGAACAGGTTAATTCCTTATTCTGTATCAAATCAGAGTAAGGATTAGTCATCATGTATTAATAAAGAAATAATGTAATGAAGACAATTTGAGAGTACTTCATGAATCACTGTGGTTAAGGACCCCTTCTGAAGAATTAGGAACACTTATTTTTAAAAAGGCAAAAGATGGTGTTCATGAGGTATTTTGTGGGCATTTTTTTCTATACTTTGCAACAAAATATATTTCAGGGTTATTGTAATAATTTCACATTCCTGTTTAAAACTGCCATTATGGGATCTCATTATGCTTTGCAAAAACACACTGATGGTGAAACATCCTTGAAAACACCCTTGAAGAGTCATTCTATCATATTATTTACACTATTGTAGGGAGAAATCTTGAGGTACACATTGGTAATGAGATTTGCTCAAGGTTGTCTGAAAAGTCAGTGGCAGAATCAAGAGGAAAACTCTATCTAATGACTCTCAGCCCAAGACCAACCTACTTCCTATTATTTGATATCGTGCAGAGACTCATTGCCTGAGCCAAACTGAGTAGGAGGGGTAGTTATTCAGGGAAAAATATTAAAAAGCAAAGTTCAACCAGAATAATTGACTTATTCATCAAAGTACAGTGCAATGAAAGCTGTCTTAACCGAGTCAGCAATTGGTAAAACTTAATTTCCTAATGCTAATGTAGGCCACTTTTAAAGTTTGAAAAAATGTTAGAAGTACTGGAAATAGTCAAATGGAAGTTTTGTGTTGGAGGTATTTTTAAGGCAGTTTCACTCTATGCTTTAATGGGTAAGTTGCCTGAAACCAAAACCACTTTCTGAAATGGTAGAAAGCGATGAGGCTGCATACAATGAAGCAGAGTCATCATTTGATCTGTCAAAATACTTGGTTTTATTCGTTCAGCTCAACAGAATTAATAGCATTGTAGCTGGTACAGAAGACTGTCCTTTCCTGTTTTTGTGTATTCTACCTCCCTTGCCAAAGAAAAGTTTTTCCTAAAGCAAATCACCCATGGAGTTAGGCTGCATTTTCTGCCAGTGAGACATCCTGATATTTATTTTCCTAATGTGTTGGGTAGCCTTGTATGGGATAGCCATAGTTTATTGCATTAAAAGAATTCTACCATGCTGTTTATTTGTCATGCAGTGTAAGAAATGGTAACACTTACCTTAATTTTTCATGGTGGTGTAGCTATCTTTCCCCTGCATAGCAGATTTCTGTGCGTCAGCTTTCTCTTCTGAAAAGTAGAGCTTGTGAATTTTCATACCATAATGATAAACGTGTGGTAATTTGTTATACATATCAACTGTAGCCTCCCTGGAGGAAATGCAACATAGTGTCTGTATTCCTTGTTTTCAAGTCAAGAGGTGCTGCCAAAGATTCATGAAGAAAAACACTACCCATGTGCACTGGTGGGGACTTGGAACACGTGGTACGGAGAGCAAGATCAGGCTGGTAGGAGATAGAAGTACAACAGAATGTAAAACCATACAAGTGAACCGTGTGCTTGGCAGGTTTCTTCTCTTTAAATCATCTCTGTTGACAGTAAACCTTTAGCAATGCGTACAGTTGAGGGTGTGTGTGCATCTATTATCAATAGTCATATTAACATTTGCAGTGCTTGCTTTTTGTCTTGTTGAGTTTGACGGTAAAGCATTAATTCCTAAAATTTGTCCTATTGTTAATACATTTTCATGTTTTCCAGGTGGTAGATTAACCGTTTGGGGAAATGCTTGTAAAATGTGGTCCTGTAATATTTTGCAGGCACAGATCATGCTCTTGAATACTTGGGGTAAAGGCAAAGGCTTACAAAGACAGAGTTTATCTTGCATTGGCCAGTATAAAAGCTTTACTCAGACTTTCCTACTGTAATTGCTGTATGATAATGAAATGCAAATCATTCCCACCATCTGAAAAAACTGATTGCATTGTAAACTCAACAATAAGCTAGGCTTTTACTGGAGGAAAGTAAAAACATTTCTGTTCATGTTCACATAAGGATACTGCCTAACTGTGCAGATTGAAAATATATTGGAACTGGAAATTACTGAAGAACTGCTGCAGAGGTAACTACAGAGTCTAGTGTAGAGAGAAAACCTGAAAAATTTCCTGGGCTTTGGGAAATTGAAGGAATGTGAAGCCACAAATACAGAGTGGTGTACTGATATTTGTTACGGGGGTTGTTATGTAGCTCCATTGCTAGAGCTGTGCTGCTGTCACTGTCACTGCTTCCTTATTGAAAAATATACTCATGTACAAGTTAATTTTTCCTCCATTCACAGCATATTGCAATTGACACTGAACAAAGGCAAAGAACTAACAGTAGCTAAACCAAACAATATCTGAGAATCAGTTCTAAAAGTTGGAGGGAAATTGGGGAGTGAAGACAACTGAAATGAGGATATCTTAGAGGCATCTCATTCATTGCTTTTGTAATGTATTAACACAGACTGTACCTGTAATTGCATCCAAAGCCTGCCTTCAAAATGTGATTGCAACAGTTCTAGCAGTGTAATAAAGCAGATTATGGGGGTTTGACTTGTTCAGTGCTTGTGCCCAGGCTGTGTTAATGTTTGCTGGATATCTGAAATTTGCCCTGGGGATAAGAGAGCAGAAGCAGGCACACTGGATGAAGTGCTGCATCTTAGTCTCCAGTTCGCTCTCCTGGAAAAGGCACAGCTCTTAGAGGAGAGAAAATAGCTTTTGTGATGCTTTGAGGTGAAATATTGTTGCCTTGCTATACTAAGTGCTTGTAAATAAATCTTGTTATGATTTATTAAAGGGATTTATTATGATTTATTAAGGAGAGAATGCTGTGAAAAAACTCAAATGTACATACCTGTTCTGAAATTGCTTTCTATGGGGAAAATCCTGGCAAATGTAACAATTCCAGCATGTTCAGATAACATCCGCTTTTTTTTTAATGTAATGCTTACCTCAAAAATAACATTTGCATCATTTTTCATGTCCTACAGAAAGTGTGTTGCTATTTGTTGCTAATTTACTGAACTAAAACGTCTACCCCTCTATTGCTCTTAGGTGAAATTGGTATAAAACATACTTTTGGAGTTAAGTCATCCTCTTAAATTGAATCTCAATTTCAACTACAGTCATATAAAGTCATTGCATCTCACTAGCATGGCAACAAAACGTCCTTTCAGAAATTTACCTGTTATCTTCAGAGTAGATTGCAAATTTTTCTGAGAACCTTTTTCAAAAAAGCAGATTATTCCATTAGTCTTAGAATGTTCAAATGTGCAGCGCTTTCTTTATGAAAATCTATTTTTAAACCCGTTACCTGATTTCTATTTTTGTATAATTCTGTAATGTGAAGGGCACTTTATACTGTGATATTCCATAAGATTTAGCACTGGTCTGTGACAGCCTGAAAAAACTGCCTTTTTTTCTGTTTCAGTTCATTTGTGGAGATACGAGGGAGGTTATCCAGCTCTCAATGAGGTCATGAGTAAACTCCGTCAAAATAAGGTAAAAAACTTTGATTTTGTTAGAATTGGTTATTTTACTCAGAACAAAGAATGGTCAGAGTAAAAACCTACCCATTTGGATACCCACTTCTACGTCAGTGTCTCGTCACTTCCTGTACAAACTTAGAAACCTCTTTGGAAAAGGTTTTATGCAGAAATACTGAATTTTAATACCTGAATACTTTATGAAACACTGAGACTTACTGCTGTGTAAACACGCCACTTGAAATTTCCAAATACACCAGGGGAATTAAGATGCCTTTACAATTTAAAGGATTTCAATAACCCAAAACCCCAAGACAGCATTAAAAAAAAAACCCTATCCAAGTCACCGTATTGCCTGCTGCTTTTTGTTGGTGAAATTAAGACACAATTTGACAGTGATCACGTTGTTTTTTAGGAATTCACAGAGTTTCGCAAAGAAAGAGGTAACATGCTTCTCTCGCGCAAGAACCAACTATTGTTGGAGTTTAGTTTCTGGAATGAACCTGTTCCCAGAGAGGGGCCTAATATTTATGAACTGAGATCCTATCAGCTTAGGGTAAGTTGAAATTTTTCTTTTGATTTTTTTTTTAAGCTCTACGTTGTCATAAGATGTTCAAAGCATGTTTAGACGGTGTAGATGGAAAACAGACCTCATCTGAAAAAATCTGGTTCTTATCAAAGCTGACGCGTGAGTCATCGTTGCTCTCAAAGTGTGGGGTCCAAAACAAAGGCAGGTTCCAACAAGGTACTAATATCTTCAGGGCTGAAAACCCCGTGTTTTCGTTTGAAGGAAACTTCAGGCAAATGCCTTAAGAAGTAATACAGTTCGTAAACAGAGTAATTACAGATTATTATAACATTTATCACGTGAAGGAAGTGATTTTGTTAATATGTAGTGTTTTCCATATGTAAATGTTGTGAAAATTGTCCAAATATTTTACTTTTCTTTCAACTACAGTCTTAACAGTCTGTTTTGTTTTTGTAGCCTGGAACAATGATTGAGTGGGGAAATTACTGGTAAGTGTTGCTTTAGTGCTTGCGTTCTGCTCTTTAAGAGATGTGTGTTTAAAAATCATGAAGTGGAGGTGGCAGAATGGTACCAAAGCATTTCAGTCACCCAGTTAATGGCCTGCCTCTCTACTTAGGCAACTTGTGAGGTAGTTCTTTAACCCTTAATTTATCCTTTGAGGAAAGAAAGAGGAAATCTGTGTGCAAACAACCTTGTGGGCTCTGTGGTTTGGCTTTCCTTCACATAACCCTTTTAGTTTGATGTAATTTAGCAGAAACCATTTATTTTCAGCAGAAAGCACTGCTCAGTGAAGGGTGGTGGTGAACTCCTGAGATTATGTTGATCTTTCACACCACCACTAGAAGGTATCTTACTCTTAGTTTAAATGGCCTAAGTCTTGGCTCTTTTAATCTTTAACTGTCAAGTTGCTTCTTGAAAACCTATTGAACAGCACATTTTTATTTTAATATTTAGGTTAAAAGCATTTGAGACAGTCTTCACTTGAATATATCCTTATGATTTTGTCTTATTTAAAACCAGTGGGTGTTTCTTTCAGTTTACATTCACTAAGTCCATGCAGCTCTAACAGTTGATAGTTAAATAATTTCAGTATTTTCATTTATTGTGATGAAGGTGAGGACTTGGATCATTAGACATGTCTTTGTCATGAATAAAATTTACTTAATTAAAGCAATTTGAATAACGTAAATTGAATGTATAAAATAGGCATAGCTATAGTGGTAGCCAGTCTGTTTTAGAAGATGGAACATATTTATGGTTAAGAGAGATGTTGATCTTGTTTACACAACAAAACACAGAGTGTTGTGTAGGAAGACTGCATTGCAAAGGTGCCTGTGATTTAAAAAGCTGTGTTCCACTACCACAAAATCCATGGTGAGTGAGTGTGGCAAAGACAATATGGCTGAAACTCAAGGATTTAATTTTAGAAGAACCTGCTATATAAATGTCCTGCCAATTTACACCGTTCCAGCAATTATTATTATGCTGGATCTAACGTTGAAGACAAAGAATGATTAATGCACAGTCTAGTGGAATTGTAAGCCTCCAATTTTAACTCATTTTAACAAGATATATAGGTATGTTTTAATTAATTAGTGCTTAAAATCAGTGTATTGTGGATTTTTTTTCTCATTCTTAATTACTGAAATGTACTGCAAATGCTGTTGAACATTTGGGCTTCCTTTCAATTATCACTTATTTTCTACCCAGAGCTGCTGTTTCTAATGGCTGCTTTGCTCTTCTGTAGGGCTCGTGCAATTCGTTTCCGACAGGATAATAATGAAGCAGTTGGAGGATTTTTCTCACAAATTGGACAGCTTTATATGGTTCATCACCTCTGGGGTAAATTTGTTTGTGCTCTCTGCTTTTTTTCTCTCTGAATCAGCCCGTAACAGACTGTTGACTTTGCCCAGGAGACAAGGTTTTTACAAAAGGCGATGAGTGGGGAAATTACTGGTAAGTGTTGCTTTAGTGCTTGCGTTCTGCTCTTTAAGAGATGTGTGTTTAAAAATCATGAAGTGGAGGTGGCAGAATGGTACCAAAGCATTTCAGTCACCCAGTTAATGGCCTGCCTCTCTACTTAGGCAACTTGTGAGGTAGTTCTTTAACCCTTAATTTATCCTTTGAGGAAAGAAAGAGGAAATCTGTGTGCAAACAACCTTGTGGGCTCTGTGGTTTGGCTTTCCTTCACATAACCCTTTTAGTTTGATGTAATTTAGCAGAAACCATTTATTTTCAGCAGAAAGCACTGCTCAGTGAAGGGTGGTGGTGAACTCCTGAGATTATGTTGATCTTTCACACCACCACTAGAAGGTATCTTACTCTTAGTTTAAATGGCCTAAGTCTTGGCTCTTTTAATCTTTAACTGTCAAGTTGCTTCTTGAAAACCTATTGAACAGCACATTTTTATTTTAATATTTAGGTTAAAAGCATTTGAGACAGTCTTCACTTGAATATATCCTTATGATTTTGTCTTATTTAAAACCAGTGGGTGTTTCTTTCAGTTTACATTCACTAAGTCCATGCAGCTCTAACAGTTGATAGTTAAATAATTTCAGTATTTTCATTTATTGTGATGAAGGTGAGGACTTGGATCATTAGACATGTCTTTGTCATGAATAAAATTTACTTAATTAAAGCAATTTGAATAACGTAAATTGAATGTATAAAATAGGCATAGCTATAGTGGTAGCCAGTCTGTTTTAGAAGATGGAACATATTTATGGTTAAGAGAGATGTTGATCTTGTTTACACAACAAAACACAGAGTGTTGTGTAGGAAGACTGCATTGCAAAGGTGCCTGTGATTTAAAAAGCTGTGTTCCACTACCACAAAATCCATGGTGAGTGAGTGTGGCAAAGACAATATGGCTGAAACTCAAGGATTTAATTTTAGAAGAACCTGCTATATAAATGTCCTGCCAATTTACACCGTTCCAGCAATTATTATTATGCTGGATCTAACGTTGAAGACAAAGAATGATTAATGCACAGTCTAGTGGAATTGTAAGCCTCCAATTTTAACTCATTTTAACAAGATATATAGGTATGTTTTAATTAATTAGTGCTTAAAATCAGTGTATTGTGGATTTTTTTTCTCATTCTTAATTACTGAAATGTACTGCAAATGCTGTTGAACATTTGGGCTTCCTTTCAATTATCACTTATTTTCTACCCAGAGCTGCTGTTTCTAATGGCTGCTTTGCTCTTCTGTAGGGCTCGTGCAATTCGTTTCCGACAGGATAATAATGAAGCAGTTGGAGGATTTTTCTCACAAATTGGACAGCTTTATATGGTTCATCACCTCTGGGGTAAATTTGTTTGTGCTCTCTGCTTTTTTTCTCTCTGAATCAGCCCGTAACAGACTGTTGACTTTGCCCAGGAGACAAGGTTTTTACAAAAGGCGAAGGAATGACTTAGGAGGCTTTTTTTTTTTTGTTTTACACAAACAATGTGGATTTTCTTAATTTTTGTGTAGCTACCTTTATTTCTCAAACAAGCAAGTAGAAGTGAACATTTCTTGTTTTGTTCTGCTTCCGTCAACAGTTTCTCATGGCCCTTTCTTATCAGGGACTATTTGTTTGCTTTCAATAACATAAGCAAGACAAGCCATGTCCTGCCATCTCTCTTCTCCATCCCCGTTCACACTGAAGTCAGGATTTTACAGTTTAGTTTCAAGCATCACATACACCACACTTACAAAAAGGAAAGTTAAGCATTTCTTTACGTTATTACATCGTGGTGTTTTGGCTTTCTCTGTGCATTAGTCTCCACACATGGGTAGCTGCTTTTCACATGTTAGGATTGTTTCAACTTGAAGAAACTCAATGTCTACTATTTATTTTAGAAAATATGCAGTATTATCTTAATATCTCGACAACTCAGAGTATTCTATTCCAGCATTAGAAATCTGATACCGCTCACGTAGAACTGTTCTCTGTTGTATTATGTGTCTTACCTGTGTCTGAGACATTCTCTCTCTTCCCCCGTTCCTTCTGTTTGCGTTGGTTTGGGAGCTTTTCTTTTTTGTGGAGAATTTCTTGAGTTTTTTTTCCTTCCCAGTGTTTGCAGCCTCCTAATCACCCACTAGAACACTTTTAAGGGAGCTATTGATGTGCAGAAGGAAAAGGAGTTGCTTCTAAGCTTTGTGCTTGTTCTTTTCCCTCGCCAGCTTACAAAGATCTCCAAACCAGAGAAGATATAAGGAATGCTGCGTGGAATAAACCTGGCTGGGATGAACTAGTCTATTACACAGGTAACCTATTAACTTCCCTGGAATGTTGGAGGTAGACTTTTGTCCGTGCCATTATTTTTCTTCTTCGGTGCATTGCACAATGATAAAAAGTTTTGCATCTCTGGGGTGTGTAGTATGTCTGTGTGTCAGTTTTTCTGCTGTAAGGAAAAGGAGGGACATTTCACTAAGCTGTACAGTGAATTTTGCAATCGATAATACACATTTGGAAAAGTTGCCTAATTGCTAAAAAATTATTACATTAGTAGTAAGTTTTTATACAACCACCTCTCCTGTAGAAGAACAGATTTGTGTAAATGCTTAAGTTTGTGTCCAAAAAATTAGGAAGCCAATAGTAAAATTTATATTGAATTATTACCTCTAATATTTCATGGAACATGGGAGCCTTGATAAATGCATTCCTTTGAAAAGGGAGTTTAGACTTTGGAACTAGAAGCCAGGAGATCCTTGAGATCAAAGATAATCTTTCATAACAAAACTCACAAAAGTATGCTAAGCATGTCAGATTTTGGTTCTATAGGGTATATTTCAAAGGAAGTATACCAGAAAAACATGCAATAACTTTTGTTTAGGTGAAAAGGAATAGGAATATTTGTCTTCAAAGGAGCAGACATATTATATTATATATTAAAAAATATTATATATTAAAAAATCACTTGTTCTCAAACTACTGTGCTTCAGTTAGAGGAATGTTGATGGTTACTTATGACTTGGCATGCATTAGGGGGAGAGTAATTTGTAGACAGTAATACCTGTTCAAACTGGGTGTGCAGAATGGCTAATGATCTCTGTTAGTGAAATTAAACCCTTTCTTAATTTTTTTCAGTGCCCCTTATTCAGGAAATGGAGTCCAGAATCATGATACCATTGAAGATTTCTCCTCTTCAGTAAAGTCACTGATTTACTTGTGCCTACATAGATAAAGTGACAAGTATTTGTCTTAAATTAATTTATGGTATACATTGTATATCATAGTCTGAAATATAAAAGTACTGTATTGAGCTTATAAAGAAGACCTCTTTTCTTCAGAATCTAATGACCTTTTGCTCTTAGGATTGCACCGGGGGAAAAAAAAAAGAAATACAGGACTGTAATTAAAAGGTTGGTTAATTTAAAACAAGTACAAGGACATATATGAGTTCCTCTGTGAGACAGCTCTTCAGGTTAAGTATGGCATACAGTATTTTAATATCTTCTGCCAGCGTTCAGTGACAGCAGCAGAACGGAGCGTTACAGTTGCTGTGGCCTTTGTGTAACATTATTATGGCTGCAGATTTTAAAAACCAATGTGGGAGTTCTGAAATTAGAAGCTCTGAAGCCCTCAGGCAGCTCTGAAATACACCTGGCTGTTCTGGCAGGTCTGAAATCAGTAAGTAGCTCTAAATTTACAAATAGGCAGTCGTTAATTAAGGATAATACTGTCTGTCAGGTGGTAGCTTATGGACAGAGAATAGGGCTTTCTGTTTTGCAAGTACTCTGAAGCCTGTTGAAATGGCACATGTGTGTAGATATCTACACCTGAATTTAATTTTGTGCAGTATGACCTGCAGTTTTCAAAGAGGTACTGCCAAGACGTGATTGCCTGAACATTCTGCAGAGAATCAAGTTCAGTTAAATACATTTCTCTCTACAAATAACTTGGGAGTCTAGGAAAAGGGGTTTAATTTAATAAGCAATCATGACTTCAGACATATGCTTGGTCGGGTGTTTCACTAACTGTACAGTAGGTACTTCTGAATTGATGTGTGAAACTGCCGCATGTTGAGTCGATAGGATTGGCATAAAGCGGTGTACCATTATGTCCAGTTCTATTTTGGTTTCACTTTTAGACTAGAATATATCCACACTTTTGGTGTCTGCAATGATGTGAACATCCTGTAAGTGAAAATAATATTCTCTCTTTTAAAGTGGCTACAAAAATTCAGTGTAACATACAGAATGTACAAATCAGTTACTGAATGTCCAGTTTGTACATTTCAATGAGTTTTCAGGACGAACATATCAGTCAATAAAATCCTTTTAATTTTCACATTTTACTGGCATTTTCTATGTGTTGCACCACTTGGGTTGTTCTCTCATCTTGCAGTGTTTATTATGGAAAATTTGAATAATTGCATAGAATATTTCACCTTGCTTAGCCAATTTCACTTCTCTGTGTCGGGGACAACATTTTTCAATACTATGCTCCTCCTCCAAACTGAATTCACAGTATCTCCATTACATCCCATTTTGCTCAGTGTTCTAGAGGGCATAAGTGCTGTCGTATGCACAGAAAATACTTTTCCTTTTGATTTTTCTCCACAAATTGTGCTTAATATTTCAGGTCTGATTTCTTCTTCCCATGTGAAATACACCACACTCTTGCCTTCACTTGAAATCCATCTTGAACAAAGTCAATATTTGATCGGATTCTTGGCTGGTTTCATATTTTCCTCCTGTTGTCAGCTGATTATGGGATGTTACTGAGTAAAATTCTGTACTTTATTAGCTGAATGTTCTCAGCTTGGCTTTCTCAGTGGGCCAAGTACATCATTTCAGCTGTTCCTTCCTGTACATCAGTCACGAGCTGCACTGCCATTTCAGGCTGTCATTTTTCCAGATTTGTGGGATTACTGTGAAACTGCAAAAGGAGAAAAAAGGATGACAATATCAGCTTGCAGTCCTTGTTATTTCTCCCAGTATCCTCCCGTATTTCTTGTTCCTAGAGAATTGTTCTGGTGACTTACCCCTCATAACCAGCAATCTCAGTTGAAGACAAAAGGCAAAAAACATTTTGGGGCTTACAGGATTTGGTGAGTTCCAATGCAATCCATGTTTCTTATCTTCACCCCCAAGCACTAGGAATTATATTCAATCAGTAACTTAATTACTTAAGGACCATGAAGTTTCACATGAATGTGAAATTGAAGGGATAATTGGATGTTCTGTGGGGTGACACTACATTGTACGAGTCTCTTCAGTCTTTATGTGCTACCCAAGATTTTCTGAATTCCCACCAGTGGAGCTGTGATGGATTATGAATGTGCCTCCTGTCGTTCTGAGCTTCAAACTCCTGCTCTGGCTGTCATCAGAGAGAGATTAGTTCCTGTTATTTTAGTTACAGATAACTATGTAAACTCACATAGCACAGTAGATAACTAAGTAATGTCAATCTTTCTTTGCTTCCCTTTGCCTGAGCCCTTTCTGAAGTTGGTTTTTCCCTTTTGAGAACACCGTTGTGATTTTCCCTCTTAATTTCCTGGCCAAGCCCGCCTTCTTCCTTTGGCTAGCATTACTTCAGCATTTCTTAGAGCAGAATTCATAGAGTTCAGAGCTGAAATCACTTTCCAGTGGTTTGAAAGTGGGGAACAATGCCTGGAAGGGTCTCTGGTAATTATCAATTCTTGTTCCACTGTAATGAAGACACAGTGAAGTTTAGCTGTCCTGTAGTCTTCCTAGAAGAGGCTGCAAACTGTTCTTCTAAGAAGATCCCTCATGTAAATTGAATATATAACTTAAAGCAATTCCACCTCGCTGAATGAGCACATTAAAATAAAAGGCTCTGTATGAAGCGGTGCCTCCCCGTGCTCTCATCAGGAGACCCACCTGAAGACCAGCTACTGCTGACGTGTGCTGCTCCCCAGGCTGTGCTGTGCTGGGGTATGTTCAGGTAAATCGGTAGCTTGGTTGTAACATGGAAACTTCCCTCACTTTGCTTCATTTTCTCCTATTTTTTTCCCAGTATTTTACAGGCAAAAGAGCTTAGCCCCTCACAACACTAAGTAATCCTTTTGGTACCTCCTGGACCAGAGGTCAGGCTTGATATTTGCCCAGTGGAAGGGGGTGGGGGGGTGGTATTTTATTATATTTTTTTTTCAAACCAGTCAGACCTAAAGGGCTCTTGTGAAATGGTTGGCACGAGGCCACGTTTCCATGGGGCTCAGACTGGCAGAAGATCCTGCTGTGAATGTTAACATCTCTGTGGCACGGAGCCTCCTGCGCCGTCCTCTGACTGTAGCGTTACTGAAATTACATAGATTTGAAGCGAAGCGTGTCGCGGTGTTTGCAGGGCCAGGGCCTGGAGCTGTAGCTGGTTTAGCTGGATGTTGGATTTTTTTTAGTGGCCTTTTAATTCAAAAGGAAACCGCAGCAAAGAGAAACACTTCTCTTCTGCTTCATGACTGTAGAATCGCAGGGGAACACACTGAATGAGAGCAGAAAGAGTTTATACTTGTTCTACTCATGCAGTCTTGCCTAAACAAAAGCATGATTGTACATGAGCTGCCCTTGGAGCTGGCTGGGCTTTTTCTCAGGAAGAATTTAAAAGAGATCATGTTTAATGCTCCCAGAAGGGTTCTGGTGAGCAGCCTGCCAGCTATTATCTGGCTGGGCTTTTGTGAAGGTTTCTAAAACTCTGTATAGGGATATTCAGCATAGCTGTTTATATGTCTGCCTTTCTCTAAAAAGCCATCAGAGGTTTGTTTCTGGGTTTGTTTTAACCATTCTACTTCGCTAGTATTTAAAGGCTGTTGTAACTTCAAGCAATTATTGCCTCAGGTTTTTGCCAAAAACATTAGATGGCATCACCGAGAGCTGCCAGTCATCACTCTGGGGATTTGTTAGTGACTTTTCCCTACATCCTTTCTGATGATGATGCAAAATGGACAGAATCAGTATTTGTTTTAATTGTTGGTGATGCTTAAACAGTCAGACTGGAGCCCTCGTATGGCATCTGAGAATCTTATTAAATTAAGGAAATCTAGTGCAAGTTGTGAAAACCTGTGATTATCTCGTGGAGAGAGCCTAAGGTTTTGGAAGGTGAGTGCATCACTTGTTTCCCTTCCTATCTATGAAATACGCAGTGGAATAGAAGAGAATTGGCACATTAAGTCTAATCTTCAGCTTACAGAAAAATGCTGGCTCTATTTGTCAGGAGATAAGAGCCTGCATAGACTTTTTCAACCCATCTTTCTCCTGTGACAGTATTACGTGGACAGGAGAAAGCAGAAGATGTGACACATAATTTGATATTAGTAAAGTTTTTCACATTATCAGAGATGAGATTCTTGTGCGTGTGGGAAATAAAAGTACCATGGTGTGTCAGCTGAGCTGGTTAAAAAGATGTACCCAGCAGCGTCGTCAGGAATTTGCTGACAAAAAGGCAGCATTTACCAAGTGTGTTCTGTGTAAGAACCCTCCTGGATCAGCCACTGCGGCCACAAAAGACAAATCTTTCAGAAAGTAGGATTTGTTGAGTGACTGACTCAGAGAAGTACTTACTTAGAAGAGGTTAGACTTATTTCCAGCATGAACAGCTTAAGGGTGGTTGGTCCACACTTGAGGCAAAGACTAGAGAAGTTTCACAGTATTTCCTTAATCACTAGACCCTTTTTTTTTAAAAAAAAAGGTTGGTGAATTCCCTTCCATCCAGTTATATGTTGATGGGGGTGGATTGTTAAATAAATAGAACAGGTAAGTAAACAGTCTGACCATTTCACAAAATCGCCAGTTTGGAGTTTAGTTTAAAAGTATTTTAATGAAGTTTGGGAACCACAATGTCACTCGCCTTAAAATATGCTTCTTGGACACTAATGAATATGCACATATCTCAGATTTGTATCTCGTGTCTTTCAGACACAGGTTGGGTAACAGTGATGTTGAGTAACAGGTGACATCTCAGGTTCTTCTCTGGCCATATTTTAATGAAATCAGAGATACTTAGTAATGTTTCCTACCTATCTGTTCACTTTTTAGCCTAGTTCTGGGATTCTTTGGAATGGAAAGTACTTACCATACTGTTTACCTTTTAGGTTACATTATTTTTTATTATTATTATCATTGATTAGACAAACTTCTTGTTTGTGGCCCCCTTCTTTTGCCACACAACATAAGCAGAGGCATTGGCCTCAATAATTCTGAAACAACAGATATGCAATACTGATCAGGGCAAATCCATTAAGGTATTTTTAACTTACTGATAATTTTCTACCTTTGGTCTTCACTCATGAGTGAATAATCAACTGACTTCTTCCACCTTGGAAAATATGTTTAAAAAATCTTACCATTTTCATTATAAAATATTTGAGTAGAATGCAACACAAGTTGAAACTTGCAACACAAGTTTCAGGCCAGAGATAAAGGTACCCAACACCCAGAATCGTTTAAAAAATCCAGAACACAACTTTGCAAACAAATATATGTTTAATGGCATTGTATAATGGATTTATAGTTGTTAAATATATTATTTTACTGTACAATTTATCGTTCTTCCAGTTCCTTTAGCAGTTCATCAAAGTGAGTAATGTACCATTTAGCTTTCTCCTTTACTTGCTTTCTGATTACATTTCCTCCAAATCCAATGAAGCAGTCCTGGCAAAAGGGAAAGAACAGGTACATAGATTATTGCAGTCCCATGCAAGGAACGGAGCTTCTCAGCAATTTAGCTTGTTTTTAAGACAGGATTTTAAAATTATGGTATTCTTCCCTGCCTCTTCCCCTGTTTCATTTTGCATGTTCATTTTTCAAATTTATTAACAAGATCTTTATTAACATTTAATTTTACACCACTTCATTAGAGTTTTTTTCCAAGAGGAAAGTTGTGTCTCGGTGCCTTGTGACCTCAAGATTGTTCAGATCTGAGATTTTGCTGAAAATCTCATGTAAATGTGATGCAACAAAAAGCCTTCATACGCAGGAATGAGTTAACATTCGAACACGCGTGCAGCATCTCACAGTTAGTCCTATACTGTTTATCTTAGCTCTGTTTACCTCATTTGATAGATACCAAAAGGAAACATTAACCACGTCTTCAATCATTAACCAGGAGCAATCATCGTTTCTACATCTCAGAAAACCATCTGCAGTGAAAGTGCAGTGTTTAAAATTTCCACTGCTGCTTTTTTTTTTTTGTGTTTAGGTAGGAAGCATTAAGCAAATACGAAGCTGCTTTGGTCATGCCCGTATTTAGCAGTGAGGGACCAACTGTCCTCACACCAGCAGAGGCTGTTCCTGTGCATTTCCATGTGCTGGGACATCTGTCCCTCAGCACTGGTGAAGAACAGGTACTGGGGTACTTTTATGTAGGGAAAGGCACTAAAGGGGAAATGGAATTAAGATATCTCCTCTGTAAAATGGCTGTTTATAAAAGCTGTCTTTATATTCCTTTTTTTTTTTTTACTATATCACCCTCTCAGGGCTGCTGTCTTCAAACGTATCATCACTGTGCAGTGAGATGAACCCTCTTGGTAGGCCAGTATCCGGTAAAAGTGCACCAGATCTGTGCCAGACCTTCATGGTAAGCACCATTCATCAGCGTTCAGGACCAGGATCTTGGTCCTGCACAGAAGCAAGCACTTAGTGTGGGGACACAGAAGGGAAAGGCAGACAAGATAACACCAGCTTGATTTGAGACAGGTCACTAGACTGGTACACAGTCCTGCTGGACCCTGATGCAGCCTTTCTAGAGAAAAGCTACCTCTCACAGATCTTTGAGGCTGTGGGAAGCGACAAAGATCTTCCCCTGAAGTCCTATAAAGAATTCAAACCCCATTTTTTTCACCCCAAAGGCTTTGCTCAAAAGGAATTTAGAATTCCAGTTCTTTAATACTTACACCAGGAGGACAGGCTTCCATGTCTGTAGCTCCGTCACCAATCATTACTACTTTCTTGAAGTGGAACTGTTCCTTCAGATGAGTAATAACCTTTCCTTTCCCCCCTGATTCAGCTGTTGGTTGTGTTTCATCAAATCCTGCATATTCGCCTAGAACACAGTGGAAGGACAAGTTAGACACGTAGCGTATTTTCTTGTAAATGAAGAAAGATACATGCCTGTGGTCTTTACTGCAGAAAACAGCTAATTACATGCAGTCCTGTAAGCCTCATAATATCAGCATCCCAAGAAAGTGATTCAAAGGTAAGTGTAAAAATTAGGATTTTACCCAAGTTTCAGTGGGGGTATTTTCAAAGAGCTGGAATGCTAAGACAGACCCCAGTATGGGCAGTGTTACAAATCCATTCCCAGTCACTCTGGTCTGGTGATACTGGGGTAAACATTTCAAAAGTATGATGCAAAGCCAGTGTGTGAAACAGAGAATAAGAAACAACCTCACTAACTCCAGTTCTGCTTGGTTACACTAGCTTAAAGTCCAGAGCAGCTCTGCTAAAGTACATCCCTCTCCGTGCATACCTCAAAGTCCCTAAGAGTGAAGTTTGCCTCTGAAAGCAGGTAAGTGGGTTAAACTCTTTTAACTTGAAGGAGCAAGAGAAAATTAAATTCTGCTGTCAGCAACTGTAACATGTTTTACCTTTGGCACAGCTTGCAATTAAAAAGTAACTACAGTAACTTTCATATATCTGGAAAATTACCCGAACTCATGGTTTTGGTAAGCTCTTGCAATTTTCCTACTTGGAGGCAGCTGCATCGGTAACAAGGTCATGTAGGCTGGACAGTATCTGTGGCCCATTTAGTTGGCAGTTTAGACCCAAAAAGTGCCATTAATTACCAGAGAAAAGAGACTTGAAGGGAATCTGAAGGGAATCTCACCATTAAAGTAAAATTTCAGCCTGTTGGCAAAGACGTTTGCTGTTGGAATGTTCAGCTGCAAGGCCACGTGCTCCACGATGCTCTGAAAGCCCCCAGAGACCAAGAAGACCTGGACCCCCCGTTGATGAAGCCTGTTCACCAACTCCCTGAGAAGAAAGAGCAGTCACCAAGTGTGGCAGCATCCAGGGGTAACAAGAAAGTTAAAATACATGTTTCCTAGACAAGCCTGCCCATTTTTAGTGTTATTCCAGTTCAGTTAGGATGTGTGCTGCTTTCCAGCTCCATCCAGCTCTGCTTCCCAAAGCTCTTCCTTCTTTCCCTTGTGAGTTTGTGCATACACTTTGCTTGAAAAAAGCTGAACAAAACCATCACATCTAGAGACAAACAGGTACTTAGTTGTTCAGAAACAAGCACTCTTAAGTTTTCTTTACACTTTCCTACTGTTCACATTAGTTCCCTTGAAAAAATGAGAGAAGATGCAGATCAGATTTTTTTCTGAAGTAAAACAATAGCAAGAAAATGAATCTGTAATGCAGAAAAAAGTAGGGAATGGGGAGGGGGGGATAAAGTCACTGCAACAGAATGCAAAAGTGGGCTGAAAAGTGTGCAAAGCACATTTTCTAACTCAGAGTTGGTTCCCCAGACGCTGGGCCATCGATGCCATCTTTAGAAGAGGGCACCAGCAACAGAAAAGGAATTGGAAAAAGTAGAACTTTTCAGAGGCAGTTAATGTCAGTGGGGCTTGAGGGCAGTTAAAAGTTTTACGGGATTTGGCTCTAGAAGCAGGAAGGTCAGTGTGCAGCAATGCTGAGCGTAAGAAGTGGTAGCAGTAACAGCAGAAATGCTAAATACTAAAAAGCAAAGTGGAGGCTTAAAGCAGGCTACACAGAAAAGGAGGAAGAAAGGGAAGGAATGAAAAGGAAAATCATGTGATTCTAAGTAAGGAAACAATGTTCTCTTTGTAGTTGGATCAAGCTATGCCTTTTACAGAAGAAGCTGAGCATGTGCTTCATTTCAAGGAGAAAATACAAGTGCAATATAATCTAAAACTACTGTATGCGCTAAAAATATTTTAGACCTGGAGCTATGGTCAGATTTTGTAGTAAAAGAATTTATTTCAATTCTTTGAAACAATTTGAATAGGAAAAAAAACACTTCTCAGTTTAAGTAGTCAATGTTAATTCCAAACCCAAAACCAAATGAATACAAACATAAATATGTCTTTCCCCTTAATGATTTTTTAATACTTTTTGAAGGATTTTCAGTACAAAATGGATAGCTCTGAAGCTGAGTTCAGGGGTGTGACTGCACACAGAATTCTAAGAGAGAAGTAATATAATTGCAGAATAAACTAAGCCAGTTGTTCATACTGGGCGTTAAATCTCCTCCCAGTTCCATCACCCATGAAAACACAGCTGTGATTGAACAGATTATTTTCCTTGCCCATTTAATCCTCGAGCCAGAATTTGAGTTTACCAACCAAAATGGCAATTAATACCTAAGACTGTTTTCTTTTTACATGGATGTCTAGCCACTTGACGTGGAGTCAGGCCATTGTAAGCTCCTGATAAAAGCTTTGTACACAAACAACATGGAAATGGAGTAGGAAGGCAATCTAAACCAGCTCTATGGTCTTACAGCCTCACCAGTGTCACAGAATTTTGTTGATTTATGCCACCTGCTTTTGGAAGACGCTTTCATCAGATCATTTGAAATTCTTCTTACCTTATTCCTGGTGTTAGCTGAGGTGGGTTGTCAGATATTAATTTCTGCACTTGCTCATAGGAGGGACGTATGAGACCTAGTCGTGCTGTTAAAGCTGCTTTGAATGTCACGGTGCCACCCATCGCTCTGCGGGTCCTAAATTGTGATCCAAAGAAAGGAAATCAGTGACACTTAACAAGTTGACACTTCTCAGAAGAATAACAAGGAACAAGGTAAGAGGCCATAGTTTCTAGGTTATACCATATCTATGGAGAAGATTGGTGCACTGAGAAGATTGGTAGCAACCACTGGTAGAAGATCTCCACAGGTCAGAGCTCTTGTGACAACCAGTGAGACAAAGGAAAACTTTCATTCCCTGTGAGTGCATCTGAGCCACTGGGACCAGTATTCCTGAACTACAGCCCAGGTGCTGTTCTCTGACAGTAACACATCTTTTGCTACAAGCTTCGATGGAAACACCATCAGCCTGAGAGAAGTGTTAAGAGAGTTGTCCCCTCTCCTCCATCTCATAATAAGGTTTGCTAATGCCTAGCCAAGTTTAATGATGAGGGCTGATCATAGTCCATAAAAAAATGTACATTAGAGAATTTATGTTGGTATAGTATTGTTAAGCGCGTTCACAAATTCCAAAAGAAGTTAACTTTATTATGCATTAATTCCACTTATTATTCCCTATATCCCTTTTAAACTGTAATAATCCCCTATGACAGGGGTGAATTAATCCCTATTGTAAATTCATTGTCACAGACCAACCTTATCCATGCTTATTTTTTACTACTATTCCTATGAAGTAAGAGCAGATATACATACATCTCTGCCACGGCGTCTCCGACTCCACAGAACTTCGCGAGCTCATCGATGCCTTCTTCCCTGATGACCGTACTGTCCACGTCAAAGCACACCGCGTCAGCGTTGCGGAAGATTTCTTTCATCTCCAAGAGGGACGCCATCCTTTTAGGAACCTTCTTACTGTAAGGGGACAAGATAAAGTCTTTCTCTGAGTGACAGCACTGCACTCCGTCTTGAGCCATTTGAGCAACTGATCTGGTTCTTGCGAGAAGGGACGAGCAGAGCCTGGTAGCCAGCTTTTATCAAAGAGCGCGAGCGGCGGTGGAGGTCTGGCTCGGCTGCTGATTTGCTCTCTGCTGGTGCTGCCTATGATGTTCAATTTACGTTCCAGGTGGGCCGTGGAGCTTTGGTCAGTTGCTGATTTGCTCCCTGCAGGCTCGGCCCATTGATGTTCACATGGGGTTCAAGGTTGTGATACTTGGCATTTGCTGAACCATCAGACTGCCAACTGCTGGGTGGGACTTGCAGTTCTCTGCCTCATCTCGCCCTCACCGCTCAAGTGGATCTTTTCTCATCAGACCTAGTCTAGTGTGTCAAATTAGTTGCTCCAGGGGATAGTAAAAGACACCCAGGATTTGCTTGATCACAGTAGACTTAACTATCGTAAACCTATTAGTGAGTGGTTGTCCCTAAATCGTGCAGGTTTAGATTCTCTTCAATATCCTGACTAATACAAACTAAATTTTCTCACCATCCATGAATGCATAGAAGATTTGGCCATTAGCATTGGGAAATTAGTCTTTTATAAAATCCATTAAAGTCTTGAGCTTTGAGAACTTCACTCAACCCATTAAGATATCCCATCATGACACAACTTCTTCCATAGCAATGCCTGACAAAAGTTTGCTTTCTTCCCTTTTATATCTGTCCACTTAAATTTATGTTGAGCACTTCTGCAGATCAGAAGCATGAGGTATTAAGTGTTTTCTTACTCTACTCATCTTGTGCTTCACCCTTTCATAAGGGAATTCAGTTTGGATTTTACTATTTACCAATCTGTACATTTAGACAGAAATAACAGCATTCTATCTACCTGACTTCCCAGATTTTTGTAAAAGTTTTTGGGTTATATTCTCTTCTAGTTAGACGTCTCTCAGGACACATCTTGTGTAATAGATCTGAGTAGCAGGTTCTCTCTTTTTCTGGTATAGGGGAAAAAATACCATCAAACAGCATGTTATGTACCTTCATAGTTTTTTTTTCCTCTCACTAAGCTAATTAATTTTTCTCCTATACATCATGTGAATTTTACTGGTGAAAGGTCTTACACAAGCTCCTAAAAATAATTTCATTTTTTACCCTTTTTGGACTAATTTGGCACCCCCAGATAGAAAAGGCATCCAGTGAAGATGGAGATGATCACGGTGTACCTTGCTGTGGAAAAGTACAGGAGCTGATGGGTACTGCTGTAGCTCCCTGCCAGCCAGGAGTCATCCAGGGATTGCACACAGTAAACACCGGTGCCGTTTCCTGAGGTGACTTCTGTGTGTTCACTGAGAGATCACAGCTCAGTGGGGAATGGTCAAAGCAGGAACAGGAACCTTTGGGTTCATTCCCACGACTAGTAACTAATACTGAGAGACAAAAGACTTTATGAAAAAATACCATAATCACTGAAAAAAACGTTTAGAACGCACACTCATCTTCTATCTGCTCATGTGTATAGAATAAAAGGGAATACTCCAGTCCTTCATTGAAAAGTCTGTATGAATGAAGCCATCAAACCCAGGCGGTGAAACCTGTTGTGAACAGCTAAGAAACATACTTGTAAGAGATAATCTCTGTTTAACAAACAGGTGGATATGAAATAGCAAGAAACAGACAGAGCGAGTCACATTAAAGGCAAAGCTATCCAAAGGCAGCCACAAAACAGTACTGTTTGAGGGTCGTTCTAGCTATTCTGGAGTTTTTTGGTGTGAAAACACTGCTATAGTGAGCAGAGTGGGTTTGTGGCTTTGGCACAAGGCTGAGAAGGTGACACAGAAGGTTCCTTAGCGCTCATCTGCATCACAGGGGTGAGAGTGGGAGAGCAGGTATCACCCAGCACATATTCCCTACTGTGCATCTGGTTTAGGTGTGGGAAGGTAGGACAGAGCCTGGGCTCAGCCTCCCCACTGTGCCAGAAAGCAAAGGTGAGTGGGGACACAGCAAAGAGGACACATTTCAGGAAAGGGCTTTTGCAAACTCCATCTCTGGGAAAGGCAAAAACAAGGACTGAACCATAATTTGAGAGGTCTCTGCTCTTGATGCATCACAGCTGTTCCGTGCCCGTGCTGGAAAACTCTGGTCTAGCTTTAGAAGCATCACTAAAGAATTATTTGTTGCAGACAGCATATGTTTATATTTTTCTATAAAGACTGTCCTGTGCATATAAGAAATAGTTATATGCCATCAGCACGGTACGTAAGAGAAGCCTCTCTCTCTAAATGGCCATGGACATAAAACCTTCCCTCTGACAGAGGCTGCTTCTGGGCTGTGCTGTGGGTGTCACCCACTGTCACTTGGCTGTGGGCAGACAGGTGACACGTGAATTCCAAGTTTACTTTGTGTTAGCCTTGACTTGACATTGGCTCTACAGCACTGTGTTTGTATTTTCAGGGGAAGATTTTGATTTTCTTTGAGCCAGGAGGGCTTTGACTTCAGGGCAGTCCTTGACAGCCATTTGCCATTTGCTAGATGTATTTGTGCAGTGGAATTAAAAAAAAATAAAATCCACTGTCATTTTTTTAATGGCAGGGAGTTAATTTTTTCCAGCCTACTGGAAATTATAACGTCCACCAAAAATTCAGCCATGGGTTTGGTGCCAATTTTAAAGATTTGCTCTACTGGACAAACTTGTTGCATCACTGTGGCATGATATTTGCGTCACGGTGTTCCAACACTGATTCCTTATTATGCAAAGCCATCCCATTGCCTCATGCTCACCCGAGGCTGCACTGCAACAGTGTCACATGATGATGCAATGTCACTGTGTGGGCACCCCACACTGTGATGTGATTTCTTGGCAAGAACCTGAAATAGCTTTCTGGATAAGCGTCCTCAAAATTTTAATCTCTCTGAAAAAAAATGGTATCGCTAGAAACACACATTGGGAGAAGGAAGGAAAAGACTTTTTCTTCTCTCTGGTATCCACACTTCCCATACTCCTTTCCCTTCTGGATGCTCCTTACAATCAGGAGCTGCTCTGGTGGACTTTGCACTTTGGTGGACAAATAGACAAGTTAGAAGAAGAATTACCAGTGTAGAGCCATGGTTGGAATTAACTCTGTCCTCTCTTTGTTCCTTCCAAAACTCTTTCAAAAGAGTTTCAAGCTGTGATTAATAGTGCCTAAAAATGACAAATTGGAAGAGAAGAATTGTGTTTTGAAATGCAGAAACCATCAGTAGTTCCTGATCTCCCTCAGCCTGTGACCTGCTAAAATCTTTCCATTTTCTGCTATAGCTGGGCACTGAGTCCTGGAAAACACAGCCCTGGTTTTGGCTGATGTATCATCACACACGTTGGAGAACTTGTGATGAACTGTAAAGTAGGGAAGCTCAAACAGAGGAGAATCTATGAAGGAAACTTCAGCCGTTGCAGGGAATCTTGCTGGTGAGAAAAGTAAATTTTAGGAGTTAAAGGTGGTTCATTTGGAGTGAAATAAGGTTCTTCTGCCCTTCTTGGCAGAGCTTGAAGGGTCACCATCAGCTCCAGAGGCTGTCAAGTGCCATTCCAAATGGTAACATGCCACTTTCAGTAACTTGTGACATTTCTTTCCTAGTTCTAAGGGTAGATGAGAGCATGAGGCAAGGCTTTTAGTGAGTGAGTAATGGGCAAAAGGAGGGGAGGGGATGGAGGGAGGAATAGAAGCAGGAGAGGTTCTGCTCCTTCCTTTGTTTTTAAAATTTTCAGTGGGCCACCCTGGCATGTCTTCCACCAGAAGCTGCCTAGAACTCACCTCCAGGTAAGTGACCACAGGAAATAAGGACAGACACAGTAGCTTGTTCACAGGTAGCTGTCACTTGGAAACATCACCAAAAAGGAACTGAAGCTGTGTAAAAGCTTTCTATGGACAAATCTCTAACAGCTGTAGTAACAGAACAGCAATTTTTTATTCCAGAGTGGTACAGGCCTCTACAGTTGGCAGAGATTAATTACTCTGAAATTCAGGGCATCTGATTGCTTAAATACATCAATGTTTTAATGAGATGGTAAGAAAAAAGAAATTCCCATAAATAATGAGCTCTGTCTCCGTATGAAAAATATGGGTAAAAAATCCCTGATGTTTCTGCCATTTAATTTCAGATGGGTGCCATTAAATTTCAGATAGGTAATCTGTTCCTGTCCTATTATTCGCATTTTGGAAAAGCATCCAAGCAGCAAAGATTTCAACAAGTCTGACAATAAAATATAGTGGGGAAAAGCTGGAAAGCAGAAAATGGGGAAGATAATAAACAATGGGCAAGTGTATAGAGAAGACGTAAGAATAGAGGGAGAGAGGTAGAGTGAAACTTGAAATAAAGATAGAGAAAAAGAAAGGGGAAAATGGAATTCCCATTGAGATCTCCTTGTCTCCAGACTATGAAGTACTTCATTGGACCATTTGGAAATAAAAAAAAAAAAGAAAGGTATTTCCACAAGTCCTGTTTCGTAACTGAGAGGGTGGAGTTAGAGAAGCAAGCACGGGAATTATGTAAGACCACATGTCAAAGGAAAACAACTGAAATCTTTTCTGTTTGCTGACCCTTCAAAGAAGGGCACTCGCTGCACTCTGGAAAACTGAAACAGCCACAGTATCTGCTACATAGAGTGCAAAAGGAACAAGTAAATGGTACTCAGAACTCCAGGTGTTCTGGGGCTGGTATATTCTGATGAGATCTTGACGAGATCTCAAAATCCTCATTGTGACTAGATTTCACTTGATACCATATTTCAGCTTTCAGAAGTGCTGCTACTTTGCCTTATGTTGACATTTACTGCTGTGAAAAAAATGAAGATTAAGTGAATCTTAATGAAATCTTACCTAAAATATCTTTTGAAACAAATCAGTCGGAAATACCCTACAGTTTGCCAACAGTCTCTGGTGTTTCTGTTTCTGATTCACTTTCCCATTTAACAAGGTGAGAGTGAGCCCGTCACTGAGATCCACACTGAGATACGTTCCCGCAGCAGAGTAACACTGCATTGAATGTGCAGTGAGATTAACAGAAAGGCAACTGCATTAAACTGTTTCCCTTTTATTGAAGGGAAACTGTTGCTTAAAGTAAGGGATTTGGAGAAAATAGTTCTCAGAACTTTTCCCAGGACCTGTTCCCACTACAGGACTGGTCCTGCTTGTAAGAACATTCACAGGAGTGTTTCCATGGTATTAGTTTAAAGAAACCACTTAATCCTCATTGTTTCTAGTCCTGTGTCTGTAAAATTGGAATAATACAGTGATACAGCTTAACTACGCTGAGGTTTAATTCTCTGTATTAGCCTATGTTTTGAAAGCTTTAGAGGAAAGGGGGTACATTTAAGCAGATTAGTTATATTTAAGCAAATTGTGACTTGTTTATATCCCTGTAAGTGCTACTCTACTACCCATCCATCCGTAACTGTGAGTTTCTGTGGTTTTCAGTGTTAGAATAGAAAGAATAAGTCCCTAAATTCACTAAGCTTGCTTCACACTTCCAGATTTTCTGTTGAGGTTGTAAAGATAGTAACACAAACCAGGATGCAAGTCAAGAGATGCATTTTTTGCAGCTATACACTACTACCTGAACAGCAGTGCCTAACAATGAATTTATTTACGCGCCTTTTAAAAAGTAGTTGAAAAGGGGTAGAAGGAACCTGGTGGATGTTGACATCCACCTCCCAACTCTCCAATCCCCTTTTGCCTGTCCTGACAAAATGATGATGCTTCCCCCCTGCACGATTGCATCATTCATTCATGCTGCTGTTATAAAACAGGCACCACGCTGCTGCTGCTGCATCTCGCAGGGCAGCACGGTCACAGCCCCAGCAGGAGACACTCTTCATATTCTGTGCTAAAAAAACATGGTAAGTGTTATGGATCTGATACGCCAAACGCCAACCCCTTCCAAGCTGAGAGAAAAAAACGTTCCCAGTGACTTACAGTATTGTACTGGCCGTGGCTGTTGCTGCTGCTGCAAACCTCTTGGCTGTACAAGAAAAGTAGGGATCAGCTGAGACCTTCAGTCACATAAATACAACGGCACGAGCTGATCTGGAAGAAAGCCGCATTTTGTAAATCACTCTTTTATAATCTGCTGAGTAAGCCAGCCTGGATGTTTTTTTTAAAAGGTTGCACACATGTAACCAGAGAAGTCCAGCTGTTCGCTGACAGGCGTAGGGAAGAGAGGTGTAACCTCGCCTGCGTCGGGGGAGGAGCCGCTCGGGCCCAGTTTGGGGCGCTCCCAGCTTGGGGAGGCACGGCTTGGCAGGGAGCAGACCCTGCCGAAGATGATGGGGAGCTTGCTCACCCGACAGCCAGCCCGTGCCACCACGGAGAGCAAAGACGGGTCTTGGCAAAACTCACCTCGCTCCACACCGAGCGCCAGGGACGAGAGCCGAGGAGGGGCTGCGACAAGCTGCTGTCAGGAGTTTGCCTTGGCGTGAAATCGGGGGAGAGGCAGGGACACTGTTTTCCTTCACTGTGGGCGAGATGAAAGGTTTCGTGAGTTAGGGTTGCAATATCGTGTTTTGGCTTAAGCCGTTACCCGGTGCATCGGAGCGTGAGGTGTTACACGCACACGAAATCGAATCAAAGTTCATCAAAAGCTTTGAAGGCAAAATTAAAACTTTTGCTTCTGAGACAGCTCTGTTTTGTTTCCCCAAATGTGATGTTGTCAAATGCAACATTGCAAAAAAACCAAAAAAAATTGCAAAACCTGTCTGTGCTCGTGTTTTGGCATCCCACAGAAGAGCTTCCCTCAGACATGACCGTGGTCCTTGGTTAGGAAACAGGAGGCTGCCAACCCAGGACTATGAAGCTGGTCGCTTGGTTCAAAGTCAAGAAAGCCAGATTTAGCTGATTTAGCTTCTTTCATTCGCTTGTGATAGGAGTCTTGTGACTGCTGCCCGTTTTGAAAGACTGTTCTGCACCACTGCATGCACCAGTCACATTCTATGCATGATCTCTTTTGCAATTCCAGCAGTATTGCCCCTCAAAATTACATACATTTATTAAAATCAATAGCCCTGTGTGCCTCTCCTCCCACGTCTTCCTTTATGTTTTTTCAGAAGTTCTCAGTACACAATCATTTGTCAACGTGAGCATCTATTAATAACTTCTTGTGTCAGGAAAAGCTGGTACCAAAACCCTTTGCTGCAAAACCGGTGATGTAATTCGCTGTTCAATCTGGTCCTGTTTGTTAGTTTTATCGTGGCAGGACAGTATGTTTTTAAAACGGATTTAGAAATCATTTCTGTGAATAAGGTTCAATGAAAACTGATCTTGATAAAGATGAAAGAAAACTGCTTTTACTGAGAATCTCAGAAGCTTTTTTGCCAAGATAAGCAGTGCATGATTTGACTAAGAAAACTGCTGCTGAATATTTCATGAAGGATTATTGCCTTTATTTGGCTTAGTTTAACGGACACATTGGTTGTATTTCAGTTAAATATTTTGATTCTAAGCCGGTGTAATTTGTTGTAAATCCATTGATTTCAAAGGACAATTTAGGCCTAGTAAGCACCTGCCCTGTATTTTTACTATGCATTAAAAACAAATATGCAGAACAGTTCAACAACTACAGCTAAGCCTGAAAAAAATGTGGAAAAGCTTGTCCTGTTGGCTGAAAAATGCTGCAAGATGGGCATTCAATGTGAACATGCTAATGAGAAATGTTACTATACCATAAAGCAACTATCCTCAGACATGTGACCCAGGAAAGAAACAGGGAGAGTTTAAAAGGATGTTGAGGAGTGAAAAACACAGCTCATGGATGTGAGACTATCGACACAAGCACAGCAGCTAAATCGTGTACATGACTACGAACCCTCTCCATTTGTACAAAAAGCAGACATGAAGGACTAGAATATCTTTGCAAATGGCTTTCCTTTTATTTTTTTATTTTTTTAAAAATATCTAAAACTAAAACTAAAATTTGCCAGGATGCAAATTTTATGTTCTCGCAGCAATAACTCCCCTCACAAGCCTCAAACTGCTTGGGGAACGGCTGTATCCCTGTTAGCAGCCAGCCCCATGTCCCAGATGTTTAGGCCAGATAATTCCTGCCTTTCCACGGGATATCACCCACGAGGATCACAGAACAGCAGCGAAGAAAATATAAAATACGGCAGGTTTGCTGCTACGCGTATGGGTTTGACAAGGCTGCCCTCTGCTGAGAACAGCCCTGAAAGAGGATCAAGGCACAAAAAAATTACAAACCAGAGAAGCAAGAATAGCAAAATATTTGTGTGTGACCTGTTGGCTACAGAATCTAGGGCAGAGCTGGGGATTCAGGTGTTTTACCCAGGCATTGCATCTAGGCACCTCAAATGTTAGCACTGGAGCCTCTCTGGGCTGGGCTGGCATCTTCTGGTTTGTTATGGTTTTCAGCAGGCCTGTAGCATCCCAATGAAAGTGAAGACTAAACATTAACAGGAAAGATCTGGAGCCAATTATGAAATACCAGGTGTAATTTCCTACATTTTGCAATGTTTAATGTTTATTTCTAATGATTACAGTAACAGAACCGAAAGCCCAGCCACTAAAGTGTCAGCGCTAAAATATTTCCTGAGAGACATGCACTGCTCAGCTGAACAAAACCGCTCCAAACTTTATCTAAAACGTTTAAAAACCAAAAAGCATATTAGCAGCTGTCCCCTCCAGACCTGCCAAGTCAAGACTGACAGGCCAGGCGTGACAGTCCTCCTGCACAGCGTGGCGTTTTGCCCAGAAACCTGAGATCCTTACCCGAAGCAGGAGAGCAGATTCCCAGCAGGTGCCATTGCCCACAGCCAAACCCAGCAGCCGGGGAGTCTGCCCCTGACACTTGATGCTCGCTCACTCTTCCAGTCAAACTCCCCCAAAATGCTTGTGCAACAAAATTAGAGCCACCGGTGGGCTTAGACTTGACTACTGGAAGCGGTGTGAAAACACGATTCAGCAGCCGGGCTGCTGAAGCCCAGCATCCAGGGCTGCATCCAGAGCTCCTGGCTGCAAAAAGTGGGATAGAGCCGGGAAGATTTACCCCGTGCCATCCTCATCCCTGGTGGGTGAGCGTTGGGGAAGGCTGGCTGTCTTCTCTGTACCAAACACCAAAGAAATCCTGACCTTGGGACCAATTGTCCCTGTTTGCTGGGGGTTAGCACCCTCTGGAGCAGATGGGCTGCAGGAACACCCAAAACCGCTTGGCCTGGATCCCCTTGGCACAGCTCTGCAGCCACAGGCCATGATTATTCTGGGGGCGGGCACTTTCCTTACGAAATACTTGGAAATAACCAGAGGGTTGTGTCACACCTGGTATTGCCAGTTGCCCAGAAGTAGCAGATGGGTGTTCGGGGGTACAAGCCTGGATGGGGCAATGTGGGAGCCAAACTCGGTGCAATCCGTGCCCATGGTGTGTCTTCTCAAGCTCACCTCAAGGGAAACTGTCAATATTCCTCCCCTCGGAGCCCAAAGCTGGCAAGCTGCATCGTGCAGCCTCAAGAACCAGGCCCTGACAGGCCGCGTAGGCCCAACACTTCCAGCACTCATCAGGTTTGCCTTTATTTCAAGACTCTTTTATGTTTTGCTTCCACAAGCCTCATAAGAAACCTCTGTGTGGCCTTGGGAGAGACTGTGCTCCATGTTTAGAAAGCCTTATGAAGGGCCCAGGCCCAGGATCAGGCTGGGTGTGCAGGCCCCGGTGGCGGGCAGGGCATCCATCAGCCTCAACTCTGAAGGCTGAAGTGTTTTTTTTACCAAGAACCCTTGTGATTATTAAACCGACCCGCTTAACTATTAATTCCACCGACCTAAAGTTAAATCGCCGAGCTTAATTATTTATTATTCACGGTTCTGCCAACCCCTCTCTCCCCCTCAGGGGCGGCGCTCCCGTTAACCACCGCGGCGGCGCGCGGCTTAACGGGGAGGGCGGCCCCTCAGCGGCGGGGCGGGACATCCCGGCGGAGCGACGGGCGTCTCAGCCAATGGAAAAGCGGTCAGCGCGGCTGTGGGCCAATGGACGTGCGTGCACCCCGGAGTGTTCTAGAAGGGGCGGGCGGGGGGGGCGTGGCCTCGCCAGTCCCCGCCCTCCCTATCGGCTCGCCCGGCGCGGCCTGGCCTAGCGCGGAGCGGCAGCCATGGCGGTGAAAGCCCTCAACCCCAAGGCGGAGGTGGCCCGTGCCCAGGCCGCGCTGGCGGTGAACATCAGCGCGGCCCGCGGGCTGCAGGATGTGCTGAGGACCAACCTGGGCCCCAAAGGCACCATGAAGATGTGAGGGAACCCCCCCCCCGGGGTTGGGGTTTGAGGGAAGGGAGGGAGGGGACAGGCGCCTCAGCGCGCCGGGCCGCCGTTAAGGCCTGAGGGGAAACGTGAGGAGAAAAGCGCCGGGAGGAGGCTCGTGTGGGGCCGGGGCGCCGTTCCTGCCGCCGCCATGCGGTGGGGAACAAAGGCGGAGGCCGCCCGGGCGGGTGGGGCGGAATGAATGGGGAGGGAGCGGTGCGGGCCGTCGGGCCGGGCACGTGTGGCGGGGCCTGGGCCTGGGGAGAGGGAGAGGCTGCTCACCCGCCTCCTGTCGCCCGCAGGCTGGTGTCGGGGGCTGGAGACATCAAGCTGACCAAAGATGGCAACGTGCTGCTGCAGGAAATGGTGAGCTGGTTCTTGCCCTCGCGGGGGTGGGAACCCTGGGGAGCCGGGGCGGGGGAGACTGAGGGAGGCAGGAGCCTGTTGGTGTTCCTTTTGGGTGCCTGTGGCTGGGGGAGGAGAGGGCACGTCCCCTGCTGCCCCGGGCATGCATCTCTGTGTTATTTAGCCCTGTGCACGTATTGAGGGGCACATGTCCTTTGGCAGGTAAAGAACTGTGGCTTGGGAGATGTTAAATGAACTTTGTGTGCTAATTTGGCAATTATAAACGAAACATGAGCTGTTTAAATAATGCTACTGGAGCTTTTGTTGCCTTCTCTTTTGCTTACAGAAAGCATATTTCTCTTACCCTTGAGCAGGCCTAGGGCAGCAGAGTCCTTCACGGGTGCATGGCCTGGAAAGTGTTTAAATCTGGGTGGTGGATGCAGCTCATCTCACTTTCCCATCGAGTCTGGGGTTATATCACAGTTTCTCTACTGTAGGGGTGAAGGTTACATGAGGGGTGGTGTCACCCCACAGGGTCTCCCGTGGGCCCTGGGCTGTGTGGTTGGGGTGTGCCCCCGGCTGAACACGGCCTGTTAATGCGTGTGGAGTGTTACATTCCACTAGCTGTTTGTTGTAATGCAGCACAAAGTATTGAAGTTGATGTACACAGTGATCTGGCACACAGAAAAAAAAATAGTTAAATCGTCTCTTTCACACTAGAGGTAGTACTTCTAAGAAAATAACAATAAAAAGCTAAATGGCAGTATAAATGGTCCCATGGGATTTTGTCTTGCTCTAGGACAGTTACCAACACCAACCTCTTCAAATGTGGATGGTGTTCTGTAGGTTCATAGGTTTAAACCTATGTTAAAATACTCTTCAGTCAGCCATTGGAGATGTTAAGTGATCTGTGTGTCCTTAAATTAAAAGACTGGCTTCTGTAGGTAACCTAAGGTCGTGTGGGCTTTCTGAAGTTTGCCCAGAGAGGCAGAATGCTTATAGCTGGAACACTATATATACTACTTAGCAGAGGAACTGGCAAGAATCAAGCTAACTGAATGTTCTTTTAATTTCATTAGAATGAGTAAAATAAACTGCCAAAGGAGTAGCAAACCATTTAGCGTATGTGCAGCACTTTTCACACAGAGTCCTAAATTAACTCTAAACATGCTGGTTTTAGTGCCAGCAGCAGTCTAGTTGTGATTGTGCATCCTTTGCCTAAAGAGGAGAAGGGCTCTGTCAGGCTCATAGTAAGTTGAAGACTCGTTTGGCTCTTAAGATTCAGTGTTTTTGTGTAGAGATGCATAATATGAGGGAGCAAATAGTGTTATGTGCATTAATTCAATCAACTTACTGTCAAAGTGATGGTTGTTGTTTTCATTGGTGCTATTTGTTGAAACCTGCTGAATTGACATGAATTGTGAAAGCATCAACCAGTCTTTATTTAGTTGATTTTGGTTTGCTTGCTTTCTGTACCAATGCAGTAAGACTTACAGCTCAGCTTCTTCTTTTGTTTAGCAAATACAACACCCCACAGCCTCCTTGATAGCAAAAGTAGCAACAGCACAAGATGACATCACTGGAGATGGTACCACTTCAAACGTCTTGATCATTGGAGAACTCCTAAAGCAGGCAGATCTCTATATTTCTGAGGTATGTGTGTATTTCTTTTGTAGGTGGACAAGTTAAAAGCTTCATCTGAGACTATTCAACTTGGTTTTGGTTTAATGCTTAATCTCATAAGTCAAACATGAAAATAAATGTGTATATATCTACTTAAAATGCGTCACAACTGTAAAATGGTGAAAACCTGGAGAGGAGGACTTAGACTTGTTCAAAATCAAAACCACTTACTGTGGATACTGTAGCTTTCAATAAGGTTTTATGTGATACTTGCTGTTGCTTCTGTCTGTGTGGTGTGAGTGAAAACACTTCTTTAACTTGTATGTTAATGAGGAGATTCTCCCTGATAGTAGGTATTTTGGATACTGAGAGTTACAGAGTAGGCATTGATATTGCACAGTGAACACCCAAGTGTGCTTTGTAGTTCCCTTGGTCTCAATTCTGTGCTAGAATAATCTGTACTTTTCCTCTGCATTGGAAGGATTTGCATTCCTTTTATATGTATTCAGAAGGACAGTACATTTTCTTGTCTCTGTATTCCCTATGTTTTGATGTTACATGAAGTGTTGAAACCACAGGTTCTACTTGTGAAAAAGTGTCATTTTGTCTTCTGTTGTCTAACAATTTCCCTTCTTTCCTTACCTTAGGGTTTGCACCCTAGAATAGTAGCAGAAGGATTTGAAATTGCAAAGGAAAAAGCACTTGAAGTTTTGGAGCAGGTCAAAGTAACCAAGGAAATGGACAGAGAGACCCTCATAGATGTTGCCAGAACATCCCTCCGTACAAAAGTCCACACTGAGCTTGCTGACATCCTGACAGAGGCAAGTGTCCAGCTGTCTCTTCTGCCTCTCTTTGTGTGAAGAGGTTCAGGTTTTAAAGTGCTGTGATTATTACCTGGGTGAAGGGTGGATGGAAAGGTGTGAACTTGCACTTTGGAAGACTAATGTCCTTTTGGGGCTTTTTTTCCCTCCCCTCTTTTCCAGGCTGTAGTAGATTCTGTTTTGACAGTCAGAAAACCAGGTGAGCCTATTGACCTCCACATGGTAGAGATTATGGAGATGAAGCACAAATCAGAAACTGACACAGCGTAAGTAACGAGTATCCTTGAGCTTCAGTTTAATGGTGCCCTAATTTGAGTAGTCTGTGGGGGTTTATGTTCTTTTTAGAAGAACTTGGCTGTCCTAAAGCTGCCACTGGAAAAGTTATTAGGGAAGGAGTAAACGAAATACCAATTTCAGCAATAAATTATCTAGACAGCAGAAGTTCCTCAGCTGCTGAACTTGATTCTCTGACAAGAGATTTTTGAACACCTAAGAATAACACTGGCTTTGGCTTTTACATAACAATGTTGAGTAAATACTTATTTTTCTTGGTAGGGGTTTCTGTGGCTCGATTATGCTTTAGGCTTTTTTCTGTTCATTACAAGTAGAAAATAGCATTTGATAAATGGAAACTGGATTGTGGTCATCTAGTTGGATATTCCATAGGCTTTCTATTTACCTCAGTGGCATGGATGAATTCTGCACTAGCTTTCCTCAGTAGCTACTGCAGTCAGACACTATGCCAGAATAAATTCCCTTTTCACACTCTGATCGGTATGCTTTTTATGTGAGAATGGGCATGCCCTTGGAAGTGGGATATATGATTGTTGTTTACTCCTAACACAAGTTCACAGCTTCTCTTGGACCAGTTGCACTGTCAATTCTCTGACTGGTCTGCACTTCCATGAAGTGCCTATTTTCTGTATGTTTATGTTAACACACAGAATGCTTTTTAAACTTTCAGGCTGATTCGGGGGCTGGTTTTGGATCATGGTGCTCGTCATCCTGACATGAAGAAAAGAGTGGAAGATGCTTATATTCTTACTTGCAATGTGTCTCTAGAATATGAGAAAACGTAAGTACACAGCAACGAGGTGAGGAGCAGAAAATGCTCCTGTCTTAGAAGACTTTTATTTAAGGTGTGCTTAAATGAGAACCAAAGGGACTGCTGTACACTTGCAGAGCGAGGCAGGTCATGTAGAAGGTGGAATGGAGGAGGTGATGCTCTTGTTGTGATCCTTTTATGGAAAAGGAAAGCTGGTGGGCTGAGAAAATGTCTTTGAGAGGCAGAGCTTTCATAGTGGTTTTTATTTTATTGTTTCGTTGAAGAAAGGCCAGAAGTCCTTCCTTTCTTGGGCATAATTTTTTATTTTGGAGTGAACATCTAAATATACTTTGGAGTTCACTCAATTTCAAATGGAAAAGCTTTGAACTGGAGTGCAGGAACAGCCTGCTGGTTTGGGGTCGGGTTCTTGTTTGTTTGGATTTTTCTTTTTTTAAAAAAAAAAAAAAGAACATAGCTGAAAGAATTGATTCCTTATGCTTAAGTTTATTTCTACAGCACTGAGGATAGCCTTACCACTTTCTTGGTTTTTTTCTCTTACAGAGAGGTGAGCTCTGGATTCTTCTATAAAAGTGCTGAAGAGAGAGAGAAGCTAGTGAAAGCAGAAAGGAAGTTCATTGAAGACAGAGTGAACAAAATCATAGCCTTGAAAAGAAAAGTTTGTGGCGATTCAGATAAAGGATTTGTTGTGATCAACCAGAAGGTGAGATGAAGGGTAACCAACTAGCAAAATTCATTGGAAGTGTTGGCTTTCTTGGACAAGCAGTGTAACTTACTCCTTAATGTCAGACAGAGAGGATGTTTCTAGTTTTTTCTTTATCCTGATGGTCACTTTCTTTGTTTCTAGGGAATTGACCCGTTTTCCTTGGATGCGCTTGCAAAAGAAGGAATAGTTGCTTTGCGGAGAGCTAAAAGGAGGAACATGGAAAGGTCGGTTCCTCAGGAGAGGAGGGAGTAAAATAACTTGCTCTTCCAAACTCCAACAGTGAGTCAGGTCTGGCTGGAATCCACCTGTAAGAACTTGCTTGAAGTCCACTTCAATCTGTCCCGTTCTTACTGATGTAACTAAGGGTGGTTTTTACAACCTGTAGGAATGTCAGTTCTGCCGACGGAGTGACGTTGGAATGTAATTAATCAATGTAAATCAAACGTAGACACCTATAGAGGAGACTTAATTCTGCAAGCTTATTTTTGTGAAGAGCTCTTTCATGAACAGAATCAAACAGTTCCAAGCCTAGGCAGTGTGGTGTTCTGCATGCTGAAATACTGTAGTTATGTTAGTGATTTCAGATGTTGTTTACTGTAAAGGGGGTGCTGAGCTGTGTGTGTTCTCTCTCAGGCTGACCCTTGCCTGTGGTGGCACCGCCATGAACTCCGTGGAGGATCTGGCTCCCGACTGCCTGGGACACGCAGGGCTCGTCTACGAGTATACGTTGGTGAGTACAGCTCAGTTTTCAGCTGGAAACAGGTTAAATACCCCTCACTTGATGCCAGCTTTTCTTTTATTACATGTATGTGTTGATTAAGCAAATGTATGACATGAATACATAACCCTGTTTTACAGGGTGAGGAGAAATACACCTTCATTGAGAAATGTGAGAACCCCCGCTCTGTTACCCTGTTGATCAGGGGGCCGAATAAGCACACGCTGACACAGATCAAGGATGCAGTGAGAGATGGTCTGCGTGCTGTTAAAAATGCTATTGAGGATGGTAAGTCGTGGTTCTCTTACACAATATTAAAGACCTTCTCTTGAAATTCATCTCAAAATCAGTGAATTTTGTGTTGGCTTCCTTGGTAGCCAATGCAGTCAGACGCCAAGCTGAGCAAATTTTAGCGTGAAGTGCTTTTAGTTACTGTTCTTACACCTCCTATTTTACAAGTTGTTGATAACTGGATAAGTCCTGGGCAGAGACACTGCCCACCCGACCAGGTTGCTCAAAGCCCCATCCAGCCTGGCCTTAAACACTTCCAGGGATGGGGCAGCCACAACTTCCCTGGGCAACCTGTTCCAGTTCCTCACCACCCTCACAGCAAAGAATTTCTTTCTGCTATCTAATCTGAATCTCCCCTCTTCCAATTTAAAACCATTACCTCTTGTGCTGTCACTGCACTTCTGACAGAGTCCTCTCCAGCCCTCCTGTAGCTCCCTTTAGATATTGGAAGGCTGCTATGAGGTCTGCCTGCAGCCTTCTCTTCTCCAGGCTGAACAACCCCAGCTCTCTCAGACTGTCTTCATAGGAGAGGTGCTGTGGCCCTCCACTGGACCTGTTTGAAGAGCTTGATCAGATACAAGCTCTCCTTTTTTTTAAGGATGAGGGAAGAGCTCAAACTACACTAAAATTTACCTGTTTAAATTGGAATAGGTTCTTACTGTGAAATCTGAACATCAAGTTTTCCCTTGCAGGGTGTGTGGTCCCGGGAGCAGGTGCGCTAGAGGTGGCCGTAGCTAATGCTCTTGTTAAGCATAAACCTAACGTGAAAGGAAGAGCCCAGCTTGGAGTTCAAGCTTTTGCTGATGCTCTGCTCATCATCCCTAAGGTATGAGGAACTCCTGAATAAAGTGCCTTTAAAGCACGCTAAGAGCCATTGGTTTTTCTGCGTGACGTCTCTTAATTAACAGCATGAAGTAACATCCCTGTTCTCTCAAAGGTCCTTGCCCAGAACTCTGGTTATGATCCCCAGGAAACCCTGGTGAAGGTTCAGGCAGAGCACGTGGAATCGGGGCAACTCACTGGAGTCGATCTGAACACTGGTAAGAGCTTCCTCAGATAGTGATGGGATCTCGCGTGAGAGACTGTCGTGGTTCAGCTCCACCAGGAATAAAATTGCTCTGAATGCAGAAAGCTGGACATTTTTTCGTAAAAAATCTACGCAGAATGCCTTGGTGGGTGTCCTGTTGCTGCCTGCATTTAAATGGGTTCTGTTCATGTTTGTTGTGAAGATAAAGCAGACAGTAGTGCTGGTTTGGATGTAGTAAGCAGTATCCGTTGTTAGACAGCGGAAAAATCTTGCTTTGAATTATGTGAATTGGTTTTTAAAGGCTTTTTTTATTCTGTAGGTGAGCCCATGGTAGCTGCAGCAGCTGGAATCTGGGATAATTATAATGTCAAAAAGCAACTCCTTCATTCATGGTAAATGTTACAGTGTTTTCACTTCAAATAGCACTGGGTGTTTGATTGTTTAAATTGATAGAGGAATGGGGAATCGAGGGATCCCGCGTTGAGGAAACTCTTGGAAAGCAGAAATGAAGCTGAGTTGTCTTTGAATTATGGCAAAACAGATACTCTAACAATATTTATTTACTATTCCCAGCACGGTGATTGCCAGCAACATTCTCTTGGTGGATGAGATCATGCGGGCTGGAATGTCTTCTCTCAAGGGCTGAGCTGGCTCTGCTGCTGTCGACGGCGCTGGGCTCCGGCAGCGCCCCGAGGAAGGTCCCTCAGAAATCCACCCCCAGGTGTGCTTTTCTTAGCCCTGGTGGATTCTCCCAGCAACAGGAATTACTGCTGTAACGAGCAGCCCCTCGTTGGTAAACACGGCCCCTTCGAAATATTAGCAACCAGTCGAATATTTGGCTCTAAAAAATCAGTTATTTATTTTTGGTTTCACTGAAGTGTACAACTGAAGTTGCTTTCCTTTTTACCCAATAAAACTGTTATGTTCTGTGCTTTATGGGTGTCGGTTCTTTAAAACTTCTCCTTCTTTGGGCCAAGGTCTTGAATGTTCTGCTGGGACTGTTGTTCAGCAGTTCCTGGCTCCCAGTGCTGTGCTGGACTCTGTTATTGCTTCCGATACTTGCCACTGCAGAGTGTTCCTGCTCTTGGGGGGACTGTGAAATAATTGCTTGAGACTCCACTGCTGGTGGTGGTGGGGCAAGTTCAGACCTGGAATTTATTAATTCATCATAAAATCTCGATTAAACCAATTGCTCCATAGTTTTGTACTTGCTCATGGGTAAAGTTGAGTTAATTTACTCTGGAAGGTTTGAAGTGCGTTGAAAGACCTGTTGGATGTTGTTGCCGTCCTTGTAATAACACTGATAGATTTTTTGATGCTTCCTGCTGTGTTGTTTATGGACAACTAGCAATCTTTACTTCTGGACAATTAGGAGATCTTTAGAGGGAGCCTTCCACGACGAGGGGTTGGGTTTAGGTGAGGGGAACAGGCTCCTGCAATCTGAAACGATCTTCCCTAATGCGGTTTCATTATGTTGACAGACAATCTTAAGAGCAAAAGGTCGTTAGATCCCGAAGGGGTCTCTTTTATAAGCTCAATACAGCATTTTTATATTTCAGACTATGACACACAATCTATACCATGAATTAATTTAAGACAAATGCACTTTATGTAGGCACAAGTAAATCGGTGACTTCACCAAGGAGGAGAAATCCTTGATGGCACCATGATTTTTGGACTCTTTCCCGAATAAGGGGCACTGAAAAAAATTGAGGCTGGATTTAATTTCATTAACAGAGATGATCAGTCACTGGGCGCTCGGCTGAGAGACGATAAAAACAACTACTTTTTTTTTAAAAAAGAGAAGAAACCCGCCTTCTGTATGTGCCACCCCACGTGTGGTGCTGCGGGCGGTGCCGGCGCGGGGAGGGCCCGGAAGCACTTCCCGGCTTCCCGCAGCCGTTCCGGGCCAGCCCCGCCGTTCCGCTCCCGCTCCCCAGAGCTCCCGGTGCCCGCTATGGCCCCCGGTGCGGCGGGGCTGGCCCTGCTGCTGGGCTACTGGGCCCTGCTGCTGGGCTACTGGGCTCTGCCGGGTGAGTGCCCGGGCTCTGCCGGCCCCTCTGCCCCCGCTCCTCGGTGGGGAGGCAGAAAAATCACATTGTTCCTCCCTCTGTCGGTTCCTCTTTCTCCTAATTGCAGCCAACCGTTAATTAAAAGCAGCCGCCGTGCTGATTTAACCGGGCTGGAGCCCTTCATTTCCCAAGAGAAACACTGAAAACGGGGCTCTAAAGTATTTTAAGTTTATTATCAAAACGTGCACAAGACCTATCCAAATGCTAATCGTTATTGCTTACTGTATGGCACCCTACCTCCAGTAAATAAAGTGGCAAATAATGCAGGTTGTCATGGTTAAAAATTAATTCACTTTTTAATTGAAGAAAAGATAAACTTTTTAAAAAAATTGAAATTCTCCTCCTGATTTTCTTCCCTTCCAGTGCTCGGGAAGGATGAGAGCATGGTGCAGCTGCCCGGGGGCAAGTTTCAGATGGGATCTGGTTCCCTGGAGAAGAGGAATGAAGAGGGGCCCGTCAGGGAGGTGATGGTGAAGCCGTTTGCCATCGACAAATACCCCGTCACAAACAGGGATTTCAGGTAAAAGCAGAGGTTTGGGTCCCCAGGGCCCTGCAGTGTTGGGGGGGGATGTGGCTGTTGGTGCTGGGGCTCCGGGGCTGGTTCCTGGCTCCAGAACCCAATGCTCGATGCTCCCAGCACTTCCCTTAGGACAAAAAAATGTGTCTTTCTGTAATAAATCATCTCTATGGGTGCAAGCCGAAGCATCTTACCAGTGTGGCCGTAACGTGCTTCCTTCCCCCCATTTTCCCTCTTCTTTCTCCCCCTTTCCCCTCCTTTCTCCTCTTTTTTTCCCCTCTCTTCTCCTCCTTTTCCCCCTATTCTTCTCCCCCTTCTTTCCCCTTTCTCCCTCTTTTTTCTGCCCTTCCCCATGTTTTTCCCCCTCTCTTCTCCCCCTTTTTTCCCCCTTTCCTCCCCTTTTTTCCCTCCTCTTCCTCTTGCAAACATGCTTTTTGGTGTCTGTGTCTTTTCCTTGCCAATGGGGCTGTTGCCGCTTCAGATTCCAGGTTTTACAGGTTCCGTTTCCATTTGTAAACCATTCCACGTATTTTATCCAAGCCCTTTAACAGAGCTTTGATAAATGCTCTGGGGGAAAAGCCTTTATTTTCCCTGCTCAGCCCTTGTTGGTTAAAAAGAGCCAACGCTCCCACACACCAGTGACTGCCCAGTGACACGGGAACAGCAATTACTGCACCTCGGGCAACGGGGAAACAGGTGGGAGGGAAGCAAGGTGAGGTGATCCAGCAATATGGGACCTTTTTTTTTTGCATTTTGATGAGATTTAGCTAACAGGAGGCATAGGTTCTAGTGGCTTTGATAGGAGGGTTTTGATCTGTGCTGTTACCACGAACCGGCCGATAAAACTTTCTGAGAACTCAATTTAAATTAAGTTTTAGAAAGCAGCTGTTCGTTATTGCGGCGCTGGGTGCATGGGGGATCACTTCTCCTGTTGTGCACCCCGAATGCTGTTGTCAAATTAAATTTATACACAGCAGGAATACATATTCAATGTAATTCCAATAAAATATTAGTATATTCATTACATTTCTGAGAATTCATTTACATAGTATAATAAGCTTTTGGGCATGTGTAGTTGTGCCTTCTGGTGGCCTCCTGTTGAGTGAGGGTCGTTTCTTCCTCAATCTTCATCTTCTTCACCTGTCCTTTGGCTCGCTTTTCATGTTGGCAAAACATTCTAACTGCTTAATTGCTCGTTAAAACTAATGATCTCCCTGCTACCACCTGTTTGTCAGACAATGTCCGTATTTATTGCATCCCTGTCTTGGGTCACCATGTTCTCAGGGCCACAGACATCCTGTCTTATCTTGAAACCCTTTAGGGATGGCTGCTAAAATAGCTACATTTCTTCTCTAAAAGAAGATTCTCTACAGTTTAACCCTTTATAAACTACATAAAATCTGCCTTAGGTATCAGTGCAGGGGGAATTTACCTGTTTCCCAGACCCGATTGTATCTGCGATGCAAATTGGACTGGTTTATCTGTTAAATGTACATCACAGGGAGCGGGGCTGTGCTGGGAGGAGCTGGGACTCTGGGCAGAGGGGGTGTCTGTGGGTCCTGCACGTTTTGCCTTGCTCTGAACTGGTTGTGGGTACAGCCGGCGGCGTTTGCTGGTGCGGCTCTTGAAGAACTTACCCAGACGCCTGAGCCTGTTGTGTTTGTGCCAGGGAGTTTGTTAGAGAAAAGAAATACAAAACAGAAGCAGAAGCGTTTGGCTGGAGCTTTGTCTTTGAGGATTTCGTGGCTGAAGAGCTGAAAAAAAAAGTCACCCAAAAACTGGAGGTAAATCTAAATCCCATGGGGGTTTCCATGATGATGATGGAGATGGTATTTCTGATCACATACCTGTCTGACCTCTCTGTTTTAAGTAAAAAAAGCCCCGGAGGGGAGACCTTTACTGGTATTGCTTTTCTGCTGAGTAGCAGCTACCTCTCCGTGCAGAGCCTGGCTATTCTCAGTGTTTTTATTTTAGTTTGGGGTTGTTTTGCTTTTGGAACTAACAGCAGGGTTGAGCCTGCGTTGATTTATGGCACTCCTCTGTTAACATCCTCTCCAAATGCTGTCAGACTGGACTCCTGAGATGCTCCAGTGCACTGGGAGAGAGCAAAACACGTTTCAAAGTACTTTTCTAATTAAATCTTAAAATAGAAAACCTAAACAGTATGGGCTGCTTGAGCTATTTTCATTTTTAAAGTCAGACGCCTCTACTCTGTTGGAGAGCACCATCAGAATGCCTGGGATAACCCAGCTCAAACTGCAGCATTTAACCATTTCCAGACTAACAAGTGCTCTGCTTTACACACGCTGCGGTAGCGCGGTGTGGGGGTTGTGTTTGTTGCCAGTTCAGCTTTAATCTGGTGTTGTTTCTTTTCCCAGTCTGCCCCTTGGTGGCTGCCCATCGAGAAGGCTTTTTGGCGGCAGGTGAGTGAAAATCAGGTGTGGTGAGTCCTCTCCCTGCTGGGAGCCTGCATGTCTTAGTGTGTGCTGAACCTTATGGGCTGAAAATAGGGGGGAAAAAATAGCATTTCTGGTGGCTACACTTCCCTGCCTTGGCCTGTTCTGTCCTTTAGTCCCTTTTTAATTGAGAAGTTTATAATATCAATTAAAATACGATTGATGCCATTTCTTCCAGCCCTCGGGTCCTGGCTCCAGCATCAAGGACAGGCTGGATTACCCGGTGCTGCACGTGAGCTGGAACGACGCGCAGGCGTTCTGTGCCTGGAAAGGGAAGAGGCTCCCGACGGAGGAGGAGTGGGAATTTGCTGCCAGGGGAGGACTGGAGCGTATGTACCAACAGCTCTGACCTTCTTCCAAACCGAGGCGTGAAGTAATGGTAGTTCTACCAGATCCAAACCCTCATTGGGGATGTTTTCAGAGGTTAACTGGGGGGCTGAGCCACCACCTTTGGTATAGGAGTCAAAATAATAATAATATAGGAAGAAGTAGTGGCTTATCTATAGTTTTAATGTATCTTCATAAACAAAGCACTTCTGCCAACTATAAAAATACCATTTCATGGGTTTGGGGCAAAGAGCGACCCCCTGGGAGCCCCACAACGGTGCTGGGATCACTGGGGAAAGCGTGGGACTCCCTGGCATGAGCCAAGGATGTCCCTGTGGCCAATTCCCGTCTCTCGCCTCCTGGGCAGTGTCTGTAGTGACAAACCCCGCTCCTATAATCCCTCTTGGTGTCCTAAGCTGAGCAGAAAAGGATGGTCCTAAAAGCCTGGTTAAAAGTAGGGAAATGCAGAGGCTGGATTGACACCGGGGTAACGGGCGTCTCTTCCTCCTTGGCAGAAAGGGTGTATCCCTGGGGAAACAAGTTTCAACCGAACCGTACCAATCTCTGGCAGGTAAGATCCTAAAAATCATCCCGTCTACTCTGAGCTCCTCTGAGGGTGGTGTTTAACTCATCCACAGAGTTCTGGTGGCTGCGTGGTCCTGGGAAGCAATGCAGGCCTTACCTGCAGGGTATTGAAATTCAATTCCTGGTGGGTTATCCAAAGTAGCCTTAAAGGGAGCAGTCTCAGCCCAGCTTCCCTGGGAAACTGAGATTGCATTGCTTCCAAAAATTCATACATAAATCTGTTTGAAAAGGAGGTTATCTTGGGAGAACTTTAGATGGTTGATCTCATCTCTTGGCCGGAAATGCTGTGTAGAGTTAATTTACAACAGAGAGTTATTTCCATTATTTAAGTGTAACCATGAAGAGCAGGACTTTGTGTGGTCTCCGTGGTGGGTCTGTGCTCGGAGTGATCTTTCTTCCTGCAGGGCAAGTTCCCGAGGGTCGACACGGCCGAAGATGGTTATCACGGCGTCTCGCCGGTGGCAGCGTTCCCTCCTCAGAACAACTACGGTACGGAGCAGACATCCCCCCCTGTTTTTGGGGATGGCATCCACTTCCTAAGTGAACACTAATTATAAAACCCTGTAGTTGTAGCAGAGTTTCAGACACGATGTGGGATCACATCAGCATCTTGATAGGACAGCCAAGCCCAGCTGAAGAACTCACCCTTAAACCACGCTCTTGCAGTGATGCTTTGAGCGTTGCCCACCCCCTCCCACAAACCAAAGTGCTTTGGCAGCCCTTATAAATGTGCTCTCCTAATCCTGATGCAAAACGGTGTGTGTCTCAGGGCTGTATGACCTGCTGGGAAACACCTGGGAGTGGACTGGGACGGAGTTCCTGCCCCCGGGGCGCTCGGCGAGGCAGGGCACCCAGAAGATGCAGGTCCTGAGAGGTGCCTCCTGGATCGACACCGCAGACGGGTCTGCGAATCACAAAGCTCGTGTTACCACCAGGTAGGTCTGGGCAATGCCCAGGAGCTGATTGGCAGTGATTTCTTCTGGCTTGAATTTATTCGGGAGGGGGTTTTGTTTTAAAATACATTTGTTTGCTCCTACTCAATTCTTCTGAGCAGCAGTGAGGAAAACACACTACAAACACTGCTAAAAATTTACCAGCTATAGATACATTCCTAATTGCTTCTCAAATCACAGAATGGTTGGGGTTGGAAGGGACCTTAAAGATTATCCCGTCCCAACCCCACTGCCATGTCTATTTTCCATCAAGTATTTAGAATGAAAGGCTGAAATCCTTTTCTTGAAGTTATCCAAGGGAAGGGGAAGATGTTTCTAGTTGTATCCAAGGGATGTAAGTGTTGCCCAGGCAGGATCCCTGACTTTGGGTCTCTTTTCCCTGTGAGAATGGGGAACACACCGGACTCGGCCTCCGACAACCTCAGCTTCCGCTGCGCTGCCGACATCCCGCCCGTCACAGCCAAGAAAAGCCAGACCAAACCCGAGCTCTGAAGGTCCCCCGGGCAGACCCGAAGGCATTTTCTCCTGTGGAGATGAACAGTAACCCCCAGCACTCACTGTGATTAAACCCAGACAGTTCTAAAAATTAAAAATAAATACTTTCAGCTAAAACTCCTCTCTGCACTGGGACATTTGGGGATGAGCAGTGACTGGGAATGGCAGGCAGGGTGGTTTCTCTGTCATGTCCTCTTGGTGCAGTAGATATTACAGCTCTCCTTTTGGTGTCTGTTTTAAATCAGCAGAGGGGTGCATGTGTGTGTATGTCACTGGGGCAGAGCTGCTCCAACCCCCAGCCAGAGCGAACGAACACCCCCAGGCCCCCCGTGACTGCCAGCGTGGGGCTGCTGGTGGGGAGTGATGGGGACACATCCCTGGAAGGGGGACTCATACATCAGTCCCCATCTTCCTGGGGAGCCCCAGCATTGTATCAGCCTCTGAGTCTTCCCAGAAGTGAAATAAGGCACCTTTATTGACCTTTAAACAGCGACAAAACCAGATGTGTCTGGTTTCCAAGGGTGTGAGTGACACAAACCAGTGACCTACATCTCCCAGGTGTTACAGCCAACATAAGGGCTACAAACCAGCTGTGCAGAACCTCTGCCACCAAAGCCCTGAGCGCAGGGGTGGTCAAGGACACCCCTCCAGGCACTGCTCATCCCTTCTCCACCTGGGACTGCCCCAAAGGGGTCCTGCTCTGGGGCTGAGCCTTCCCCAGGCAGATCTGCTGCTCCAAGCACACCAGGAACTGTTGGTTACGGCTGTTGGAGGCAGCTTCTCCAAACCCTTAGAGCAGAACATACCCCAGGAACAAATCACAGCCATCTGCTGGGTTTGCATTTGCACCGTTATCTCTGAAGAAAAAGCGAAAGAAACCACCAGTTGGTTTTCAAAGATTTTACTCGCCTTAACTCCGAGCAAACTGGGTGGCTCACGCAGCGGCGATCAAAACAGCCCTTCCTCGGTGGCCAGGGTCAGCAGAATGGCCTTGCAGGTGTTCTCAAAGAGGGCGGCTCTGTTCTGTGCCTCCCCTTTCTTCACCCAGTGCCGGTAGGTCCTGAAGGCGCAGGCGTCGATCAGCTTGCGGACGGGCTTCAGGGCGTAGGGGTCCCGCACCACCAGCTCCCTGGTCACCGACTTCACCAGCCGGTACTGGTAGTAGATGCGGACGGACGCCAGGACGGTCAGGCAGATCACCTGCAGCACAGGGGGAGACACACAACGGGATGGAATTCATCCTACAACGGGACCAGCCCAACCCCAACGCATCCCACGTGGCTGCTCTCCGGGTGGAGGAGTCGGGAGGGAGCCCAGCTCCTGGCACAGGTATTTAGTCCCATGTGAGCAATATGGGCTTTTTCCAAGTGTGCCCTTAACGCCAAATCTGCAGGTGAATCCTAAATGTGTCACCTAATGCCACTTTGGGTACCGTTGAGCTGTCCCAGTTGCTGGCTACAGGGAATTCCTCTGCGTTATCAACTATTGCATCTTATGCACCCGTGTGATGTCAGGCTTATTGATTTCCCCTTAGAAGCAATCTTCTCTTTTTATAATGGATTTTTTTTTTTTTTTTGAGGAGGCAGTAGGCTTTTCCCTTTTCTTATTTAATCTTCTGAGAAAAAGCCCTTAGGAATCACCAGAAAGCACGCGCAATAGTGCTTGGAGAAGGATCTCCACCCGGGCTGCCACATCCATTGGAATGGGCTGCCCAGGGAGGTGGTTGAGGCACCATCCCTGGAGGTGTTCAAAAGACGGGTTGATGTAGTGCTGGGAGGTCTGGTTTAGTGATGATGCTCCTTGTTTGTTGTGTGGGTGTCTATTTTTGTCAGTTAGGTTGACGGTTGGACAAAATGATCTTTAAGGTCCCTTCCAACCTAGAAGATTCTGTGATTCTGTGATCCTGCTGAAGCCCAGGTCCATCAGCCTTCCTGAACTCCTAGTTTCTCCCAGCTCAGCTGGAAAACCCATCCCACCCCCACCCCGTTCCTGCAGCTCCCGGGCTCAGGGCGCTGAGACACCCCTAAATCCAACCTCACCTTAAATTTCCGGAAGGGGCTGAAGTGCCGGACCTCCTCCACATCGTACTGCTGGAAGAAAGGGTGGGCCAGCGCCTCGCTGGCCGTGTACCGCTGCTGGGGGTCCACCACCAGGAACCGGGAGATCTGCACAAGGGCACTGGATTGAGCTGGGATGTCCCAAATGTCCGCAATGACCCCTCCCCACGGGGTCTTCCCATCCCCAAGCACCTACCAGGTCCTTGACTGTGTCCGAGCGGTCGTCCCACTCCGGGGAGCCGAACTGGTAGTCCCCGTTCATGATCATCCGCAGCATCAGCATCTGCTTGCGGTGCCAGAAGGGAGGTGACCCGGCCAGCAAGGTGTACATGATCACCCCGGTGCTCCACCTGCGGGCAGCACAGAGGGACCCTCCAGCCCTGAGCAGCACCTGGGGGCACCTGGATGGGTCTATGTCCCAAGGGTGACTCGGTACATTCCCTCAACTGGGATATGCTGGGCTTTCCCACCCTGGAAAACCAGGAGGATGCTGCCCTGGGTGGTGTCCCAGGGAGGATGAGCTTGCAGCTGGGGCTCATTAGCCCTGATGGGCAATAATTAGCTCACTGCTGGGGAGGGGCTTGGGGTTTTTGAGTTGAGCTGATGTGGAGCTGCTCTCCTGGATGCTGCAGGAAGAAGCTGCAAGTCAGAGGTACTTGCCTTTCTTGGTTTTTTTTAGGGGAGGGAGAGGATGCGGGAGGGTGGGATGTGTTGGGACACGGTGGTGCCAGAGAGGTTGGATGCTCTGGGGCTGTCTCAGCTCAGACTGTGGTTTGCAGTGTCCTGGTGTGGGAGTTAATGGAGGCATCTAATCTGAAAGGGGGCTGAAATGCCCTGGTGTGTTTTGAGTGGTTGGTTACAGCTCTGACTGCTGCAGATCTGCACCTGAAACCACCAGAATGGTGGCAAAGTCCCTGCAGGGCTCTGATGGGCTTTTCTGAGCTGGCTATGCTCTCAGGGGCTGCCTCGGGTTCATGTCTTGCTACAGTGTGTGGTTAAAAAACTCTTGTGTCTTGGAGTCCAACCCAAGTTGATTTTTATGAGCAGAAAGTGTTGCTTTCCTTCCTCCCTGATGGGCCAAAGCTGGGAGACAAGCTCCTCCCCAGGCTGCTTCTCCCCCAACTCTGTGCCAGAGCCCCTGACCACCAGGACAGCCCCATGTGGCCCACAAGGGTGTTTTTTGGTGCATCACTTAATTCCTTCCAACCACTCAAATCTGCACAACTCTGGCCGTGCCTCAAACCAGGTGTGTTTTGGGAGCAGCCCGAGGGGTGACGAGGGAAGGTAGGTGTCTCACTCACATATCGACCTCCTTCCCGTAGCCCTGGTGCTCGTCGTCCATGGAGCACTGTAGGATCTCAGGGGCCAGGTAGCCAGGTGTGCCACAGATTTCTGCAAAGATGGGGCAGAGCATCCCTGTGAGCCACCTGGGAGGGGTTTGTGCCGTCCCCCCACCAGCCTCCAGCAGTCAATGATGGGGTCTAGATCCCAGGTGGGATCATTACAGTGATGGTGCTCACAAGGGAGTAACTGCAGCTTGTGTGCATCTCACTGGTGGCTTTTCTTGGTGGATTATAATGGCTAAAATGCGAGTGAAGAGAGTGTTGGGGATGGTAGTTGTTGGTTATGTGGCTCTTCACAGGATAGGAGTGGGGAAAAAACCTTACTGTTGGGCAGTAAATGGATGCGGTAACGAGGGTCAGCTGGAAGGGGGAAAAAAAAGCAGGAAGAATAGGATGGTTTTCCTAATGGGCAGCAACTTTGTCATGGCACAGAATGCGGTGTGGAGGCTGTGCCAAAGGCAGAGCTGGAGCAGGAGGGCACCCCAAACCAACAGGCACTAATTTGCACCCATGGAAGCGAGACTGGCTCCAAGGAGACTGGGGCTGGAGAGACTCCACTGACTCCCCGTGGGTACTGCAGCAATGGGGTAGCCATGAGCCACCCCAGCATCACCCCCAACTCGCTGTCCTCCTACCTTTGAGCTTCTCGTTCTCACGCAGCTGGCAGGAGAAGCCAAAGTCCGTCAGCTTAATGTTCATGTCGTCATCCAGGAGGATGTTCTCCGGCTTCAGGTCCCGGTGGACGATGTTGATGGAGTGGAGGTACTGGATCACCTCCAGCAGTGCACGCATGATCTTCCTGGGGAGGGGTCACAGATCTCCCGGGGATGGGGACAGGGACCGTGCAGCTCAGCCCCCATCCCTGAGCACAGGGCACAGCCCGGGTGCTGTTTGGCCCATGGGTGCCCTGCTGGCAGCAAGGTCATCCTTCCAGCCATCTGCATCTGGCCTTACCTGGTTTCCTTCTCACTCAAGGTGACTTTCTCGGTGAGGTAGTCGAAGAGCTCCCCTCTCCTCATCCTGTGTGTGGGAGGGAAAATGGAGGCAGGGGAGTGGGTGGCAAACCATCCCCGTGCCCCTGGGGAGGATCGTTGCCCCTTAACAACCCCAGGGCACCCATTGCACAAAATGACAAGCCAACTTGTTAATGGAAAGGAGTAAAAGTGCCTCTATGTTGCTGCAAAACATCAGGCAAGAGGAGGAAAGACTGGCCCTGGAGAGGGCAGGTTTTGGATGGTACAAGGACAGGGCTTTCCCAAGGCCACTCCCCTCTGCTGACGTCCATCGCGCTTCCCCGGCATCAGGGGTTGCGGCGTCACGCGCGCCCTGGTCCCGCTGGGCATATAAATAACCCACAGGGACGTGTGACAGCTCCCACCAAAGGTTACGGGGAAACCTGAGCAGCGCTGAGCCGCTGACGGAGGGGAAACACTGCCGGCTCATTTCTACCTTATGCAAAAGCTGGTTGTCCCCCAGCTTTGCCCTGTTTGGGCCATAAAAAGCTGGGGCGAGTGTTGGCTGGTGGCCGTCTGCAGAGCGGGAATGGGCTTGGGGAGATGGCAAGCTGGTACTTACAGGTCAAACACCAAGAAGAAGAAGGTGCTGGATTCATAGCTGTCCTTCAGCTGGACTGCAATAAAACAAAGGGGCTATGAGCACAGTGTGTGGCATGTTCCTGTCCATAATTGCTGATTTGATTAATGAGTGCTGATTGAAT